TTTGGAATGGGTAGTTGTTTACATACTCGCGATAATCGGCACTGCGCGGCGAGTTTCATTGCCACCTTTAGTCAAGAATGAGTAAGGCATTTGAAGTAAGACCAGTGCGAGCCTCTGCGAAGCAGAGGTGACGCACTGGTTAAAAATAAAACGAAAAGTTCACGAGGCAGCGGAGCGACTGAGTATTAGCCGAACCTGCCGCATAGCGGCAGAGAGCGGCTGCTACGTTTATAAAGGCGTAGGCCGCAAGCTCTGAACGCGATTGCGACATTGGTATCTCCCGCAGGTGTTCTGATTTTGTCCGGAATGTGTGAGTCGGGACGCCCAATTTTGTCGCGCACTTTTGACCCGAAACAAAATCAGGTGTCCTGACTTTGTCCTGATACCGGTTTCGGGAGTCGCGCAGGCATTCCATCCTACTCTTGTTTTGTCCGCCGGCAGTCAATGGCGAATGTCTGATATGTTGCATAGCAAATTTTCATTGTTGACTTTACTTGGATCATGGAAAGGGTAAAGACGATTTAATAGAAACCATATTGAAGGCTTGCGTGTATAAGCGTTCTTACGAGTATAAGAATGCCCTAATAAGGCATTCTTTTACTTGTTTTGCTATAAGAAAGAGATTATTATCAGCGCCACAAAGAAAAGTAACCAAAGGCTAATAAAGCAGAGAGCAGAGGATCCTTCAGCCGACAAGCCGCTCTGAGATAGACCTGCTTAGAATGAAGCTGTAAGCGGAACTGATAATGATAGTCGAGATAGATGATCTGATACTTGGCTATATATAATGTCTTGCAGTGTGTTCAAGTCATTTCTTAGTCTGAAATTACCATGGACCGTCTGCTACGTGGATTGGCTATGGGGGTGCGACACAGACCTTTTTCCTTTTTACCTTCAGGAAATATTGTTTAGATGGGTGCCAAAGAAGCCTCTGATGATCCTACTCACCCAGACTCCGCAGAGACCGTACACGTGTCAGCACTGGCACTTTTGAAAATGTTGAGGCATGCTCGAAGTGGAGTGCCATTGGAGGTTCAAAATGAGTCGAAAAACAAACGAACGGGTATAAGGCATTACTTGTTGCAGGTTATGGGTCTGATGTTGGGTAGTTTTGTGGACGATTACACGATAAATGTTGTGGATGTTTTTGCGATGCCTCAGAGTGGAACTGTATGTGGAATCTTAATCTCGACCATATGTAGTGCAGGCCTGTGGGAGTTAACTAAAGTAGGTCCAGACTTGCCACGGGCGTTTACGCCGCGCCAGAGTGGTGCCGAAACCCACGCGAACAAGCTCAGTATTGATCGGCAATTCGACTCGGTCGACAATTTGCAAGGCGCAAGCATTTGGCGCGGGCAAGTCTGGAAGCAGATTTAGAAAGGCTGCGTGCTCTGCTCAATTGCGCCACCATATATCCCAACTAAGCAGATACTAATGTATCTGCCCAGACCCACTTACAGCGGCCCGTAGAACCGCTATATATAGTATTCGATTACTGAATGCCTGCCTTGCAGAGCGTCACGGTTGAATCGGTCGACCCTGTATATCAAACCAAGCACATGGAACTTCTCAAACAAACCGGTCGTACCGAAATGGTAGTCGGATGGTAAATATTCCAATAGTGAAAAAAGTCTATCTGTGCCTGACGCTCCCCTATTTAGGTACCATTCTCATCCAGGCTTCGGTTGTTGGCTATCCAGCGTTGATGTGAGCACCCAACAATCCTTTGAAGCGCTTCACCCCAGAGCCGTAGCTCTTGTCGTGGATCCTATTCAGAGCGTCAAAGGAAATGTGAGGGATCCTGATGTTGGTTCTTAATTCATATCAGCTCACCTTCATGATTTAGGTAATGCTGGATGCTTTCCGATCCATAAATCCATTGGCGGTAAATCCTCGACTTTGCACACCAACTGCTGAAGCTCGTCAAACCACTAGCAATATGGGCCATCTTGTTAGACCAAGCCTTGTATCTACCGTACATGGCTTAGGATTACGGTTGGTAGACTAGAGGATTTGCTACTACAAACGAAAACTGGAACTTTAGATATTACTCGTTGAACTGTGCCTACAAACTAACCACAAGGGAACAAAAGATGCTGTCTAGTTTAAATCAAAAATCCTGGTCAGATGGAATGGTTTGCACATCATTTGCTTTATTTTCCTACAGATATAATTACATCCTAACTATAAATCTGAAATCCATGCCATTTTATGCTTATCTTGAGTCTCAATTTCAGAGCATCAAGAAGTTTTCCGCTGTTGAACAGGCTAACAGTGATCAAGTAGAGGAGATGCTTAAGCTCACACAATTATTTACTAAGGTACGTACAATAAACTACCGATATGTAACATTCAGCTGGATTGGCGGCTAGAAGGCGAGGCTTTGTGACCTAATTATGGCCGCTCGCGCCCGCGACAGCCTGCGTCTCCCTCGCGCGCGCTCTTTCTGATCATTCCCTAGCTTTAACTAGGTCACGAAGCCCTGCCTTCCAGCCGCCAATCCAGCTGAACAACGGAACTCGTCCGATTTTTTTCTTGAACTAAGGATATACAATCGGACAAGCCGATTGCTACTAACGAAGAACAAATAAAGAAGTATGGGCGACTGAATGCCAAACAAAAACTAGAAGAAGTAAGTGTTCAGAGGTTTTTTCAACTTAGAAATTTACATCAATAGTTCTTCTTCAGCTGGCTAATCAGATCATGGCCGAAAACATTGTGCAGCAACTGAGCACAGTGATTAACACACAGTCCTTGCAGTAGAACTGCATATTGTAAAAGCACAACAGTGGCCACTTTCATTGTACTTGACAAATAAAGTCTGAACCAGGTGTTATTCAAAATTGTTCGGTATCTGACATGATCTTCTAAATTAAACGGGTGCTAACCGAAACCTCGTTTTTATTGAAACTGCAGAAAAATTTACAAAAATACATGCTATATAGCCTTTCTATTGAGGGCTTGACAAATAAGTGTAGAATTCCGATTGGAGGCGGCTTTTCTTATCGAGGTATGTATTAGTAAAAAGTTGCTGCAAAGGTGATCACAAAATAAGCTTCCAAATCAGCTAAAAGTTGCATTGGACGAGGTCTGAAACAATTTTCTGCATCCAAACTCCACTGTCAAGTACGGTCTGGGTAGCGCGAATTTGCCGTAAATTCAGAATTGCTTCGAACATACATCGTTGGATATCTTACATGCTTAAATAAAAAAGCAAAAGATAAGGTGCGGAAGCTCTGCTAATTCATCCTTCGACAAGCACCCAAACTCGCTACTGAATTTCAAAATACCTGCAATTTCATGTACTGTTTTGGCATTTACAGAAAGTAGACTTGGAACCATTATTGTAGGAGAACATATGTACATACTTTGCTGAAAAAAGTCGGTCCGCTTCAAGTGCCTTCCCTTTTGAGGGGAAGGATGCACAAAAAGGACATAATTTGTCCAATGTCCAATGATCGAGGTGAGACTCAAGAGTGAAGTGATAATTTCTTGCAGAACAGTGAAATCCTATCGCTAGACCGATTCACTTGATGATGGGCTGAATTTTACACATACACGATTGCATGATGCTTGCAGCGAAAGTGCCCAAATTAGACTGTAGTCAGCACGCTGCACGAGTTGGTTTTGCAATTAATGAAGCGAAGTCTCCTTCGATCCACAATTTCACGAGGAGTCCTAGAGCTTTTTAAAATCCCTATAAATTGCCTTTTGAGTTTTCACATGTTGTGTGAAGGAGCGAACATAAAAAATGGATAAAAAATGCAAACAACTTAATGCTTAGTCCTTTGACAAGATCGGCAGTATCATAAATTACAAAGACGGAGAGTTAAATTGGAGACAATTTAGGGAGCGGATTACTCAAGAAGCATAAGTCTCAAATAGGGCACGAAATCTGACAAAAAAACCCCTTTTTCTTGGACAGTTTAGAATTAGGTAGGGGAGACAACGTTTTGGAATGGGCTTTTCGCAGAGGATAGATTCGGACGAAAAAAGATACTTATGCATCAAGCGATCTCATTTAGACGGAGGAAAGTCTTTCTAACCAACTGAGTTGGCTGTAAACGAGGCATTATTTCATAAAATGCCTAAATTTTTTTTACATAGTATTCTTCGTAGAGTACACATGTTACATGTGGTCAATTTGGTGCACATTATCTAGTGTTTGCTGTAAGCAGCCATTTAATCGAGGATCGTTTTCCGCGCTCTCGGGCTCGATGTTGAATTAGAATTGCTTGTCTGTCAAGTACTAACAGGTTTGACATGTTTTACAATATTTAAACTGCTTTTTAGTTAGAATCGATGCAGTTTTACTCAATAGACATGAGTCTGCTGATTAACATTTCGCTAACACCAGCTTCCCCACCGGGAGCGTACAAACGTGAGCAGGCGTAAAATTACCATTTTAGTGCTATGATGGAAGACGCTGTTCAAATAATGTCCAAATCCCACTTATTTCGACTCTATTCTCTTTTTTCTGATAATAAAAGTAAAAGCTCTCCTTTTTTACCCCTAACAGCCAGACGAGTTATTTCATTGCTAACAACGGCAAAAACTATTGCACATGTTTCGTATTGTCCCCTATTGTACCTTAGCAAGCAAAAACATTGAGTAGAGAAGATTCAAGATGAAAAGCATTTTTTTTACAAGAACCTAAAAAATTTATCATTTCAGATGTATAGCGATCAATGGATGTTACGAACGCAGCAAGCTATAATACGAATATGAACCATTTCACACTTATTTCGTGAAAACGAAGAAGGACTGAACATTTTCGGATATTTCAGTTCATTTCCGCTTACACGTTTTTTACGTGCAGACATGTGCAGGTTTTTCCTCATCGAAGCATTAAAACAGATTTCGACAAATCTGAAATCAATTTCGTTTCATAAATCGCAGTCACTGATGAGGTTGGTACGTGCAACAGAACTATTTATATCTGGCTCGCTTTCGATTACGCTTTTATTAACGATAAAACAGAGGGATTTACAGTGTAGTTCACATATGCGATGCCGAGCGGTTCACGTCGAATTCTATAATATTGTCTGAATGCTGGTGGACATTGTGATTTGCATTTTTCTAACAAGTGTTGGACTTGCTGACGCTACTCATGGTAAATCCATCTACCCCTTCCAATACTTGCGACCCTTGGTGACACAACTAGGCATCAATGCATTAGTCATCATTTTTCCAAACGAAAGCCTACTGCTTGCAAATGAATTTGTTGTAGATTATCAGTGCTGGAATCCAAAGTCAACTGATGAGTACAGACAGAAGTTTCTCACACAAATCAACAGTAGAAGAAAGGACATTGCTGACGGAAAGGCAGAGAACCGCTATGGTTTGTTACCGAAAGGGAAAAACATATACATGCTAGTAAGTAATTCCAGTGTATCTTCTGAGAAGTCAAGACACAATTTCAGTATTACTGGTGCGATCTAGAGCTGTTAGCCCAAGAAGTTGCTGACAAATGTGATGTCAGCGCCCGCGCTCCGGTAGGTTACTCGAAAGTGATAGCAAGGTTAGTTTGGATTATTGCTACACTGCTTGTTGTTTATTATCTACTTCCAGGTTCTCTCCAAGCGCTAGCAATACCATGGGTCTAGCTGATAAGTCGATAAAGCAATGGTGGGATGAAATTTCAAAAATTATTAATATCAATTCTACAATAATTGCCACGGAAGATTCCAAAGCTTTCGCAACGGCAAGCTTTCCTACCTTTGACTGAAAGCATTTTAATTTCCAATCTTTGATCTTACGATCAGCTTGCCAACGGGAAAGCCAGAAAGCTCGGTTGTGCACAAAATCTATGTGGAGAAGACTTTTACGCAGTATGCGTGCTAGATGCTAAGTAAGTTTTATGCTGCTTTAGACACAAAAGTGTTGACGCTTGTAGAACGCCTGCCATCGGAGAACAAATTTATGAGATTGGAACCGGCTGCACGACTGACGCTGAGTGCACCACTTTTACGGGCTCGACTTGTGATGTTGATATCAACCAGTGTGTAGGAGGATTACCCGGATCATATGAAGAAGAGGAGGAACCGGCATTTGCTACAGCATCGCCATCAGCAACAACTTGCTGGTGTGCACCGGTCACAGCTACGACAAGATCAATGTTGGCTTCAACGACTACATTAGTCACTGCGAGCTCTACTACAGCTCCAACTATCACTACAGAAGCGTCCAAACCAAGACCGACAACTACAACAACTACTACGAAGAAACCAACAACAACAACAACTACTACTTCTACAACTACTCCTACGACGACTACAACAATAAAAACAACGACACCAACAACAACGTCGGCAAAGACTTCAACAACTTCAACAAGAACACTCACGTCAACAATAACGACTAAACCGACAACAACAACTACACCTACAACCAAAACCACAACAACTCCAACAACTACCACTACAACGATTCCTACGACAACCTCAGCGAAAAAGACAACAACATCTACAACATCGCCCACTACTTCAACAACACCTACGACAACGCCAACAAAAACCAGTACAACAACGCCTACCACAACATCCAGGACAACGATCACTACAACGACTCTTACAACAACAACAACTCCCGCGACCACGACCACAAAGACACCAACAACAGCAAAAAGAAGCACAACAACAACCCCGACCTCTACCACAACTACGCCAACGACTACAGAAATAACAGTACCTACAACAACAAGGACTCCGACAACCACTACTACAGAAAAACCTACAACGACAACAACATCAGCGAGTACTACAACGACTCCCACTGCACCAATCGTAACAACAACTTTGCCTACTACCAGTACAACAAAAACGCTTACAACAATTACTCCAACAAAAACCACAACAACCACGCCTGAAACAGCAACAACAACTCCCACAACAACTACAACAACTACAAAGCCGACGACGAGGACGTCTGCAACAACAACTACGGCTACTCCAACTACCACTACAACCACTCCTACTACAAGAACTACTACTAATCCAACCACTATCACCACAACGATTCCCAAAACGACTACGACTCCAACTGGTACTACGACAACAACACCAACAACTACAACAACTCCAACTACTACTACAACGCCTACAACAACAACGACCCCAACCACTACCACAACAACGACTCCCACAACGACTACGACTACAGCTAGTACTACTACAACAATACCAACAATTACAACAACTCCGACGACTACTACAACGCCTACAACAACAACGACCCCAACCACTAACACCACAACGACTCCCACAACGACTACGACTACAACTAGTACTACTACAACAACACCAACAACTACAACAACTCCGGCGACTACTACAACGCCTACAACAACAACAACCCCAATCACTACTACCACAAAGACACCTTCAACGACCACGACTTCAGCAAGCACCACAACAACAAGAACACCAATAGCAACAACGACCACCACACCAACTACTACTACTACTACAAGAAAACCTACAACTACAACAACCCCAACTACTACCACCACAACTACGCCTACAACAACAAGTTCAAGTACTACCACAATAACAACAATGGCTCCCACAACTACCGCTACAACGCAACCCACTACGACAACAACACCAAGAACAACGACAACAACCCCCAGTACAATCACCACAAGAAAGTCTACGACATCAATGATGCCTACAACAACAGTGGAAACAACACCAACAGCAACGACTACAAGAACATCTCCTAGAACGACATGGACAACGTCTACTACAACAACCCCAACAGCTATCACAACAACAATATGTATGACGACAACAACACCGGTGACTTCCACAACAACCCCAACATTAACGACTACAACAACACCTACAACGACAACAACACCTCCAACAACTACCACAACAACAACACCTACAACGACAACAACACCTCCAACAACTACCACAACGACACCTACAACGACCACTTCTACAAGGACAACAACGCCAAAAACGACAACAACCACAGAATTGCGAACCATAGATCCAGGTAACCCGGAATCTTATTTAAGCTCGAGCTCAACAATTTTTCGAAACTTATTTAATGTCAAGCATTCAACAAGCGATGTCCAAACAATCAAGTAATAGACGACTTTGTGAGGAGCGCCTTCTTGCTAAATCATAACGCACTGAGGTAATTACCCTACTGGTTTTCCTGAATCTCGTAAAGAGTACTTGTAGAGAACAACTTGCTCAAGGTCTCGTTGTGATGGGAAACGGAGTAATGGCTCGAAAGGCGTCAAGAATGATTCGCCTGGTGAGATAACTTGCGTGCGCAATGCATTGGTGCTGAATGCATTACATATCTAGGTATACGATTGTGACGCCGAGAAGAGTGCTCATGACTGGGCTAGCAAATGTATAGACGAAGACTCGACACAAACTATGTACACTGAGAACAGATACACAATTAACGATACTAGCGTGACTGTTCAAGCCGCGGCATACAAGGTACAGCTGAGTAGGTTTGACTTCCTCCACTTGCAAGACCTTCGTGAAACGAAGAATTAGAGCGTATGGATATGGTGGGAGGAAATCAAGAATAAAAATATGCTGCAACTGGCGGGGCAGACGAATCTATACTACAATCATCTTGGCTTGAAACATTTTGCCAAGGTTTGTCAAAGATCCATCTCCTATTTTTCATTATAGAGTTGTTACATTTTCTTAGATGGCATGGGACACACAGAAAAAGATTGGATGCTCTGTGGTAACGTGTCCAAGCTTTGTCAATGTTGTCTGCCATTATAGCGGAGCGTGAGTTTGCAAAATAATTCTTTCACTACGTTCTGCATAAACGTTATTGTAGCAACGTTGGTGAAGGTCTTCAAATATATAAAATGGGACCATCATGTGCTCGTTGTAGCGAACAGGGAACAACGACATGCGTCAGTGGTCTTTGCGAACTTGAGGGAACTAGCTCATTTCATACTTATATCTAATTAGAGTGCCAGCTTTGAGATTTAATAAAATTCTTTTATCACGTTGCAATTGGTTTTTCCCATTTTCATAAGGATAACATGCTACCCATTCGGCACATGTTCGTTCAATCAGTCGGGAAGCACTGTATTTGTTGCATTGGTTTTGTCAAGTAATACCATTTCTATTCGGCTTATCCAACGCACTGTCATAATAATCCGCCGATCTTTCACTACTTTCGAAAAAATTTCAATCATGTGGAACATTTTCTATTTATTATTCTGCTTATAAGCAGCACATACATCATTCGGACAAGATCAAAGGCTTATAATATGAGAACTGAGCGGTCACATTCTTCACAGAATATAGGCTACAGCAGTGGTGATAACAGCCATCAACGCTGTCGTTGATCCGACACCGTTCCAGTAATTCTGATCGTACTGTCTTCCATTGGTCGTCGTTCCGTACCCATACTGATTGTTGGTGGTTCCATACGTGGATGGCGTAGTTCCGTATCCATACTGTCCATACTGAGTGGTGGGTGTCGTGCCATAAATGCTATTACTGTACGCTGTGGTCCCATAGCCAGGGTTGTAGCCGTTGTTACTGCTGTAACCATTGTTCTGGGTGTTTGTTCTGTAATGTTGTCATCCACTCGAACAAAAGAAGGAAAAGAATATTTCAAGTGGTTGCAAAGAATGGTTATGTAAATATGTATGGTTAGTGCTGACACTGACTACATCCTGTACTACTACGTCATAATGCGAACGAGGAATCAGACTATGGTGAGTCATAGGATATAAAGTCTGAGTGCATAGCAAAGTCAACTTGTAACAGAGCATCTTTCTTCACGTCCTTCCTCTCCTTACCAAAGCTTAGCTCTCACAGTGCTGATCTCTACCTTGTTAGTTTATACAAAGTTCAAAGTGACATCCAGTCAAGGAAAGAGGGCCGCTGTCCGGAGGAGGGGCAGGGAAAATAAAGGAGAGATTATTGTAACATCGACATCGAAAACAAGCCATGCAGTTCTGTTATTCTTCGACTAAGTCAAGTCATGTGGCTTCTCTACCCTGTGATTTCCCAATGTTGTAATTCTACAGAGGATAGAAACTAGAGTGCAAAGGAAAAGGATTATGGGTTTATAAGCGCAATTTTCTTCAAAACGAAGTTTATTCTGTGAAATACAACGCTGAAGTTTTGCTTAAGCTCCAAGGTAATTAGTAGAAACATGGATTACCTGTATTGATTAAACCTGAATCCTGGCTGTTGGAAACCATATTGCCGGGTGGTGTATTGTTGTGGATATTGCTAAAAGGCCGCATCAAAGAAAAATTGACGAAACTTTAGAAGAAAATTCCATACCTGAGCAAATTGGGCGAATGCGACTGACACCGCCAATGTAATTAGTAAAACGATTCTCATTCTGAAATCTAAAATCTCAATCTCTGTTACCTCCCAAAACTCAAAAACATTTGCAAAGTCACATGAGACAGAAAGAGATGTGGATCCGAGACCATGACGGCAGTGACTTATATACTCGATGAGTAGGGCAGGTGCAATGTTTGTTCGTTGGATCCTCGACTCGGTTGCCGTGAGGCTACAGGTCGCGCGCACGGTTTGTTGCCATCACCGTGCTCACCGCGCGCTCCTCCTTGAGTTCCCGGTCGCGCCGTGATCGAGACTAATCGAGTTCGTTGAGCTGCTAAACAAATAACTAGTGTTGATAAAGTCTTCAAAGAAATAACAACCACACAGATGACATCATCTTGACCTTGTTGGCATATGGCCAAGGCAAACTACTTTTTCTGCAGGAATTTCCTGCAAAGAAGGCATGAGGCGTTTGCTCCGGCCATATTTAGCCAAACAACCCCATAAAAGTACTATTATGCCAGCCGCAGTACATATGAGAATTTTACCTGGTATAGATGTTCCATAAATAAATATAACGTTCAGTAGACTACAAGCAAGTAGAACACTAAGAGATATTTCTGCAAATACTGCATTTTTGTGGTAATTTTGTCCGATTTTATAGAAACACTAGCGGCCCTAAGGGCCGCTTGCAAGTATGCTAGGGTACATATAGTCATCACCACAATAACCTCTACGTTTTATACCTTTTTAGGGTTCTGGGCAACTGAAACCGAGTAATAAATGACTTTTGACTCTTCTGATTGTGAGAATCCTCTTTGCTGATTATTCGATACCTTTTGACTCTCTTCTAAAAATTTTCTTTGGGTCAAATGTTTGCACCAATCTCAACAGAGTCACCAAGCAGTCGACTCTCAAAGCGACAATGTAGTCTACACTCAGCTAAACACTCAGAAAGTACCTCAGTTCCCGAAAAATTCCGGCAGCGAAAACAAGCATTGTATTCTCATGCCTTATGCGTCGCCTATAAACCACTTTTTGCAAATACGTACTGCTCCGCGCCTTCAGAGCGGTATATGTGAGAGCTGCCCCACGATCCTGGAGAAGAATACTTCAAGAAAAACTTTCCTACAGGCCTCCTACAGAGCGGTAATCTGAGAAAATAGTGCCCTTCATACCCCTACAAATGATATCGTATTCTGGGATAAGTCTGCCATACAATCCCCCCCCCCTACAAATCGAATATTGCGGGGAAGCCTTTGAGCTGCTTACAGACGGAAAAATTGCCCTATGGTCCGCCCGCGGACGGTAATTAGTCATTAGAAGGAAATGCCCTATGGGCCGCTTACAGACCCTTATTTTGACAAGACCACACTGTGGGCTGCTTATAGATTGGTATTTTTCAAAAAAAATATTTTCAAAAAGAACTGCTCATGTAGAATGATCCTACGAGCCGCTTACGGACCTTTTCCAGAAAAGGTTGCCCTATGGACGCACACAGACCGATATCAAGAAGAAATTGTCCTTCAAATCTTCAAACCAACTTTCAAAAATTGTCCTAAGAGCCGCTCAAAGTCTATTATTGCAAGAAGCAGTCGCTCGCCCTATGTGTAGCACAAGCTGGTATTTTGAAACAACAGAAGCTATGAGCTGCTTGAGACATATCTTTACGTAACTACCATCGATATATTAGAGAATATAACTGCCCTATGCGCCGCTGCAGAGTGGTAGTTATAGAAAGAAAATGCCCTATAGGCCACTAACAGACCGATGTTTTGAGAAGTTACTCACAGTCCCCTACAGACCGAGGTTTACAAGAACCCCCTTCCCCTTCCTCCGTCGTTCCTCTCCCAACAAACCCTACTGGAGAAAGAACCGTGCTGAGACTGCCCTAACAAGGGAAGTGTCAGAAGTCGCAGTGGCCTTTTGACATGGGATGGGTACCATCTTAAGCAGCTTTAGATGCTGATTCCAAAACAAACTTTCTTAGCTGCAGAACTGATCTGGGTCGCGAGTTATGGGCATTTTAAACATTAAATTTTTAACTGTTTGAAGTACTCTGTGATCACGGGAACCTTTCAATTGCTTGTTTAAGCACCACAGCATGACTTTGATGAAGGCGTAGGATTACGTTAAACATTGTTGGACTGTTTCATCTATGTTTGAGCCCGAAAAAATGTTCGCTTTAATTTTTGGCTATTCTCAGCGTTGTAAATTTCCCACAAATTAAATTCAATAACTCTCGTCCTAGATTAGTTCTGCAGCTAAGAAAGGCTGCTTTGGAATCAGCATTTCAAGCTGCTTCAGATGATACTTATTTCATGTCAAAAGGCCACTGCGAGTTCTGACACTTCCCTTGTAAGACCGATATTCTGAGAAAAGGCTATCTTACCCTCCCCCCTCTTCCTTCCCCCACAGACCGATAATTACAGGAAGCCCTGCCCTATGGGGGATCAGCAGATATTCCAGATTACAGATCTACAGCCCCTACAAACTGTATTGCCCTACGAGGCACTCACGTATAATCTGCTCTATGGACAGCCAAAGACCGAAGTCTTGAGAAAGAAGCTGCCAGCTACTTATTGTTAGAGGCCTACACAATGGTATTTTAAGGAGGAACCGCCCTTGGAACCTATATACAACCAATATTTTGTGATAAAACTGCTCTATGGGCCACCTACAAACCATAATTTGAGAAAGGACTGCCTTATGGGATTTTACAGACCAATATTTCAAGAAAAATTGCTCTATGTGCCGCTGCAAATCGATAATTTCTAAAAGGAGCGGCCGAGCGGGGAGGGGGGGGGGGGGCTTGCCAACGATAATTTGTAAAGAATCGCTCCATGGGCCTCTTGCAGCATTTTGGGAAATAACCGCTCTATGGGCGCTCACAGACCAATATATCAAGAATTGAGCTGGAAACCCTCAAACCAATATCTCGAAAAAAAATTGCAGCCGTTCAAAGACCGATATTTGAGAAAGAGCGCTTTCCGAGTCCCTTATGAATTAGTCTTCTGAGAGAGAAAAAATAATTAGAACAGGTTACAGTATATCTACGCCTCATACAAACAACTTTCACAAGTAACTCCTCTACGCGCCGCACACAGACCGACAATTTTAGGAGGTGCCCTAGTCGCTTATACATCAGCATTTTGAGAAACAAGTACGAGCCTAAAAAGTGCCTGATGAGAAGCTTATGGAACGATAATTGTACGACGATTCTACGAGCCCTTCCGCTCCTCTTCAAATTCATATCTGAAAAAAAAAGCGCATTATGGTCCACCTTTAGAACTATAAATATGAAAATGAAATGTTCCCCTTGCGGACCGATACTTTGAGAAGGAACCACCCTACAAATAACCGCTAACTGGATAATTGTCGAAAAAACTCCTCAGGGGAGCTTACAGATCAATATTTTTAGTAGAACTGCCTTACTGGCACCTACAAATCAAGAAAGAGCCCTATGAACAGATTAAGCATTGAAAGATATGCCCAATGAACAGCGAACAGACTGGAGTTGTGAGAAATGATTGCAGAGACCTATAAGAATAGCCTTACAACTTACCAACTTATTTCAAGAACAGAGAACTGTCCTCATCAATTCTCACCAACTATGCCAGCTATGAACTTTAACTAATTATGGGCAGCCAAGAACTTAAGCAGGAAAATGAAAATGTGAGCAGTCGAAGGGTAAACGTTGAAGAACTATTAAAGCATGTCTACGCTAGACAGCGAGTTCCGAATCATTCATACCGGCAGAGTTCAAACTTGCGAAAGAAGGGGGGGGGGTACTGTTAGCAACCTTACGAGAGTGTCGGCCCCTTCCCAACTATAGCCTTTTTGCACTTAAGAACCGCACCCCTTTTGGACGCCTTCCTCGAGGAGACACGATATTTACCACCCCCTGTACCCCTACGAAAACACGCTAGCCTTGTAGACAATCTGCACCCTCCGCACCCTCGGCAATCACTCGCCTCAGTCCGCAACTTGTCAACATGTAAGTGCAAAACCTTGCCATTCTTTATTATAGAATGATCTGTATTCTGCTTCTGTGCGTTTGTTAGACCCCAACAATAGGTATTCACTTGAGCAAGTATGTTTACGTTCAAGAGTGAGACGTTTCAAGAGTAGGCGGCGGGAGTCCTAAATACTCATGCAGATGTGCTTAACATTTTGTAGTGAAAAATTCCTTGTTAAAATACCAATATTAATATGTATGATTGACATCAACCAGTTGTAGCATTTGTGATCGGTTCTCTTCCGCTTAACTATATTTTGAGAAGAATCACGGCCGGTGACAATTTTTTACACAATTTCGTTTGCTTTTCCCAGCAGTTCTTGAGTGAACCTTACCGTAAGTTTCTTAAGTGAGCGGGAGAAATAAACAGCTTCTAAACAAATATTTGCTTGCTCCACTATTAATCTTTGAGCTACTATGCTGGTTTGAATTACCGTGTTGAAGTTGCGGACCGAGGGAATAGTCAACATTGGGTTGAAATCAGCCCAAGTCAGAGCCTTTGCGTCACAAAATTTTTTGTGCCAAATTTTTTGTGGGTCACGAATCTAATTTCCTGTTCTGAGGTCGAATAGCATCATACATGAAGAGGACTCTTGTCGCTATAAGCTTTAATTTTTTTCACGTTCTTCAATAAAAATGACAAGTAATAAAAATTACAGAAACAATTATAATAATGTAAATAAACAACTACCAGACACGTGTATACATCCGTACACATATATAAACACACATAACTGTGTTTGTGCACGTGCTCGCTGAGCGAAGTTTCGCTAATCACACAGAATAATGTCAACACTCAAAGAGGGATGCGCTCATCGGATCATTTTTTTTCATTGAAGTTTTTTCTCGTGAGATATCTACAGTCTGCAAAAAAGAATTGAGCAGTAGCTAAATCTATTCGGGAATACTTGCTATATATATAGCGCGCCTGATAAGAATCCGAAATTCAAGAAAAAATCGACACCATCAGCTTCCGCACCTAGAAAAAACCTTCATAACTTCTTCAAAAAAAATTTCTCTCATTTCCAAAGCATGCGAGATGTTCTGGATTCTTGGTATGTACACGTCACACATGAAAATACAATTTTTGAATTTTTTGAAAAATCTTTCGAATTTTTCTCAAATTTCCAGTTTGCGCCATTAAAGAGCTTGAACTTCCTAACTGCCAAAATTCCTAACTCATGTTGCCATTGATGCCTCTACTCTATGAAAAATCAAAAAAGAAAAAAGGAGTCTGAGAGATTTTTTGATAAACAAAAAATGGAGGTGGAATGCCGACAAAAGATTGCATTTATATTTACTACAACTCATTTCCGGGAAGATGAAAGTAGGCCAACCTATGACCCTTCTTCCCCATATACGCCAAATATGAGACGTTGCCAAATTTTCTAGAGGTTTTTAGAGGAAGACGAAAGACGTGTATCAAAACTTATATAAATCTTATTAGAAAGATCACGCTTGCGTATTGGAATCCTTCATGAACGAGAACCTTATATACTTACAAAATACACCTACAATATGACGAAAGTTGGTTTAATTATATTCGCATTTGTTATGTGCGAACACCTTAGTGAATTTGTTCGTTCTACTATTATTCCCACGCGACCAGTTTTGTAAATTTGGATTAACGAAAATCTTTTTTTGTTATCATGTTGTACAAGCTGCAGTTCTCTTAAATCGCTTTTGAGCATTATAATACTCGGTATAGAACATCTATATTTCATTTCCCTGTAATAACTCATCCAAGCGCGGCACATGAATGCCCTTGTCAGGTACAAAAACAAGTGACATCTATGAAATGTAAGTATGTATAGACATAAGGTCCGTACGTGTATCTAGGAGACCGATCAAAGACGGAAATAGGCGTTTACTATAGTCTCCCAAAGCAGTCGTTTTAGAAGTGAAATATCTCGTCCTCTGAGCTCGAAGTTTGTGCTCGAATTTACGGTACTGGGCCAGACTTCTTTTTTCAATTTTTTATGTTTCAATAGAAAAGTTCTTCCATTATAGAAGGCTGCTGCATGACGAAGGCGCAGAAGCAGTATTAGTTGAGCGGACGCGGACGCGACGCGCGCTTATCCTCACCGTTGTAAATCCTGCTCCTCATGCGCTCCGTGGCTAATAAAGCCGCGTTCGCGCCCAAAGACTGCGCCTTCGTCATGCAGCAGCCTATACATAAAAAAAACCTAACTTCTATTTACAGAGAATGCTAATTTGGTACACAAACAGCAAGTTTGCGCTTTTCCTTTATTTTCTTCAGGTGATCTCATTTCTTATTCTGATGCCTACTATAATATTACTCATTTAGGTCCATGCAACCTTCTCTTGTACGTTCCTCCCCGTGGACAGCGACTTTAACGCCACCATCAATTATGAAAAGGATCTAGATGAGGAGGATCTTTGCCTAACCGCTTGTCTTGGAGATCCGACTTGCACCTTTGTCAAATACTCTGGGGTAAAGTAGTAGTTCTTTCGAATGGATTATTATTTTAAGGATTGCTGTTTTTAGAATCTGTGCACAGTTTACATGGAAGGGTTCGAGTTGCAAGCAAAAGATGGAGGAGTTTTCGAGCTGAACCGACAACTAACTACAGTGCCATGCTCAAGAGAAGTGCATTTGGAAAATGTAGAAGAGCACGAAGAACCAGAGGCTGATGTCCCCGAACAGAAACCCTGCAGGGCATGGCAGGATTGTTAAAGGATACCTTCAAAATCTTTTGAAGTGATTGAGAGAGAATGACTGCTCCTCGAGCATTGAAAAGAGATAGAATGTCTCCCTTGCACCAATTATAATCTAGATAAACTGTGCATCTCAGTATAGATCCGCACAACTTGCTGTGTATGTTACACATATGAGCGTGGTGAAGTAACAGTAATTTTGCAACTGGAGTATTGTTTGTTAATTTTTGTGGTGTGACTGGCAAGTCTGAATCTTTATTCACATATCTCCGCTAATCCCGTCTCTCAAAAGGACAACCAGCAATTTGAACCATGCAGACCTATGTCCTCGCAAATAAGCATGCTGAACGGTAGGTACGTAGCATTTGATTCAACTGCCTTGGCGGCTGGAAGGCGGGGCTTTGTGACTTAATTAAGGCCCCTCGCGCCCGGGACGAGTCTGCGTCTTTCTCGCGCGCGTGCTCCCTGATCATTATCTAGTTTCAACTAGGTCATGAAGTCCTGCCTTCCAGGCGCCAAGCCAGTCGAATCAAACGGTACACACATAAGCAACATACATGTTTACAGACAGACTACAGACATACAGACATTCAGCTTTATATATAAGGTATAATTATTTTATTTACCTACTTAAGACATCTACACCTGACATTCTTGCATTATCAATGTTATTAAAGGCATTTTAGAAGAGATAGCGCTTTACCCTCCTCAACTTTGGATACCTGGATTTTCCTGATTCACGACCGATCAAGAGCGAGGAATGTGTCAAATTACTCATTGGAGGCTTCACCATAGTTTTGAATTAATACTAGCTTGTAAAAAAGTCCCGGACACTTTCGGAATTTCATTTTCAAACGCATTTTTCCGGCGCTTAGTCGTACTTTAACACCAAGTTTTTATATTGTTCAATAGAGGGAAGCCTAAAGTTTTCAATGCGGCTTCTGATTTTTATCGATGCCAAGACGTGTTTGATCTGCAAGTCAAGAAGAAACCTTTTCAACTATAAAAGTTTCACAATTTTTCTTCCTATGGCCATTTTATTGCCGTTTATAGAATTTCGTCCAAATCATGGGCGATTCGATTCAGGAGCCTATTAACTTCTAACTCGCAGCTGCACTCGAGTTTTGCGATTTGCGCTCAGAAATTACAAGCTGTCGAACTTGCCTCTGACTGCAGCTCTTTTCGCAGCTGGCGTAGCTTCTGTGGGGATCGCCATGCCTGGATGATGGGTTCAAAAGATGTGTAAGGCACTACACCATCAATGTGCGCAGTAATCGAAAATTTGGTCTACTCTATGCAAAACGACAAAAGTTCAAAGTCACTTACTCGAAAAATGGTGCATTTTTAGGGGCAAAGAATGATTGATTTTTTAAAGTTTCTGGAAAAACTTTTTTGCATGTGGTCGCTCAAAGGCTTAAACAGTCTCCATAACAGCCCCAGTAGACTTCTATGTAACTACAGCATATGAGCTCTCCAGCTTTCATCGTGTCTGAGATAATCCTGCTCAGATAGGCACTTTTCGCAACGACCTTTTTCCCTTCTGGGCATGCTGGTGGACTGCATTGAGATACTGAAAAGCCAGCAAGACTAATATATGTTGTGAACAAAATTGTCTTTGTAATGAAGCTTGTAGCTTCAAAAAAGATTCAATCTGCTCAAAGGTACAGCGATCTGGAAAAAAATTTCGCAAGTGCCCGGGGACTTTCTTTACGACCTAATAGAAATGGTTCAGTGAGATGTTCATGGATTCTCACTCCTGTTCGGCTAAAATCACTCTCACATTGCTCAGTTTAAATTTTAGTAACACTTTTTAGAGATTTGTTCACAGAGTCTCGAGAGCTTTGTGATTGTGGTTCTACCCTACTTGTGTCGCAAGGGCGTTCCGAATTTATTCTCTTAGCTATTTGACGCATTTAGAATCCTTGTGACAAGTAGGATGACTTTTCTATGACGAAATGAGACGGTGATGAGAAAAGGTAATAAAGCTAACTTTATCAACCAAAATAAGGAAAGCTAATATTGAATTCACTGCCTTATTCTGCATCAAATCATACAGCACAAGTTAACGCTCAAACAACAAGAATTTTGCTTTGCTATATGCACAACGGTGTGATACAACACAGCTAATTAGTTGTGCAAAATGCTCAGACAGTCGACGGCATACCTCCGGAGCAGAAATGGCAGGGCCGCGGGGTCTGCCCAGCGGAGGTTTGCCACTCGTGCTCCGGAGCCCTCCCATTTTGTGCTCCAGAGGTGTACCAAATCTGGCGTACCTCCGGAGCAGAGATTTACAAGCCCGCCGGAGGGTCCCATCTGCCTTCTTGTGACGTCACCGTGACGTCACAGAAAGGGACCGCCCCCTCGCCCCGTTCTCAATGGTCAGTTGGGCCCTCCGCAGCTCTGCCAGATTTCGACTGTCCTCCGAAGCTACGGCACTGATGTCTGAGTGACGCGAAGGTTATCTGAGTTACGTGACATTGCCATATCGTTTCGGAGTGGCGGAATCCTAGTTCGACACCATTCAACTCAAATTGAAATGTCTGAGTACCTTAGGTTTATGGTTATTAATCATTCCTCCAGAAATCTATGATTTTGGTGTGGAGGAAGTTACTGCGAAAATTAGCACGCTGAGTAACCTAGTGATGATGAGTTGAATAGTGCCTTTGGATTCAGAAATGCCCGAAACGAGATATGGCGATGCGACTCCAATTTCACCTAAATCAGGTGACCATCGCGTCTTCTTTTTGCAAAACTTATGAGTGGTAGTGTAATTCTAAAACCTCTCAACTTTACCATGCCTGTACAGTAACAAGCGGTCTCAGTCCATAAAGCTATAGATCAATAAGTCTAGTACGTACATTATGTCCCTACCAAATATGCAGTGGGGCAACCGTGTGTAAAAAAATTATGGACAATTGAGATAAACATTATTCCAGCATTCAGGCTCAATATGAGCAATTCAATGCATATGATCGTACAGGTTTTGAATCTTTGGTATCGAACAATATAGGGATCTTGTAGGACGACGCACACCAATGTGGCAACATTTTTGTTTGATTCGTCAATCTAAAACAGAGAAATGAAAGTTTCATAGGCGGATTCGAAGAGCAACTACCTTTCTAGTAAAATAAGCATGCAAGTAGATGTGATACCTTTCGCTTCTTATAGTTGCAGCTGAAATTTGTGGGTTGCTTCTGAAAGGAAAAAGCTGAGCAAAGGTACAGAGCTGTAAACTACGCAATCATTTTCACTTTTTTCAAGAAAGGAGACCAGTCCGAAGCAGCATTACGCACAAGCACTTGGAACTTTGTCAGTGTAGGAAAGTGGTAGATTGTTGTGCGCAAAGGGCTATAAAGAATGTTTTGGAATGAAGTCAAGAATTGATATTTGAGCTCCTATGCTATGGAAAACGAACCTTCCATAGGTTTTAATAACCATATTATCGGGTAAATACTGAATTCCTATATCTTGCCGTCGACTATAAAGGTAAGAATACACGAGACCTTCGTTCACACAATCGTATTCCTGTAGAGTTTGAGTGATTGCTGGAAATGAGTTTGGAAATCACACTTGCCATGTGTCCTCCTCTAGCTTTTAGAAGCCATACAGCGATGAAAGTGCGCTTCTTATTATTTAATTCAGTAAGGAAAGGGAGTTTTTTGCATTTGACGAATAACGCATCTACGTGGACGGTGAGAGTTATGAGCTAAACTGATATTTAGTAGTGGTACCTACATAGAAAGTGAGCAGGACTTACTGCAAAAAGAATATAGCACCAGTTCATAGCGAGAGTCAATAAAACTTTGCAGTACGAAACATTCGCAATTTATTACGGAACAAGAGAAATCTGTGGTAAAATTAGCCTCAAACACACCAATATGCAGCCTCAAGTACACAACTCATCAGCCTCAATAAGCAAGCTAACACACTCCCAAATTTCATTGAATCAACATCATGATCCGTCCGCAATGTTATGAAATTCATTCACAAATTACTACAGGGAATGGAGTACGAATTTATAAAGCGCAACTGCACCCACTCTGATAAACAACGAGATACAATGACGATTCTGGAACAATGAGTTCAAAAACTTTGATTGAAAAACATTATTCCCTTTTCGTGTGGAGCTTGGTTCCAGTTACGGTTCGGGAGCCATTGATCTCAAACCGACATTGAAATACTGAGATCACAATATCAGCAGACATATTATTTCTACGAAAGAAATCAAGAATTGCTGAGTAATGGGCATAAACAGACGAATTTTCGATAGACAATCTTTGAAGCAATACATAGTACTCTTTTGCTTTCAATTCATCATGGAATATCTGCAACGCTTACAGCAGTAGGATTAAATGTAAACGTGCTTAGGTGCTGTTATAAATTCATCCAACACCAGTGGTCAGAACCAGGGTGAGTTTTGCATGTGCCAATGAAAAAATTATTTTGAGGCTTGATGTGAAGAGTCATATTTGAACGTACAGAATGGTGCTTCAGGAATTTTCCAGTCACCTGCTCAATCCTTCCCAAAGGAAAAAATACTATGCAAAAGCTGAGGCAAAGTAGATGTTCGAAGCAAGTTGAAGTGGGTGCACTGTCCCAGCATGCAGAGACAGCCGGCTTACTCGAGTTCCATAAAACTGTTTACTAGATGACTAACGAATTGTGGGATAGCAATTTCAGATTGTCTGCTCGCAAAAGCTCGCTGATCCGAAAAAGCTTTGAATAATTTCCATAGTTTCTCTTGCGTGCACACACCAACTGTAGTGTCACAGCTTGTTTATCAATAAAAAAGCTTTGTTAGTTCAAAATTTGCATTACCTTTAGTCGTACTTGTTGAAAGGTTCCGCAGAAAGCATGAACATATGATTTTCGATTGCACGTGAAGTAATTGAGGAGTGTGCGGGATAATACAATCGTTTCGCAACTGGCAAAAAAACATATGAGCGATGGATGGAGATTTGTGGATGTTGCTTAGATCTGACTGAACCGTTACCTCAAAATTCTCCTGCACATAATTGAGTCAACGGGCACAGATGCTTTATACCCGAAATTTGAGCAAGTTTCAAGAGTAGGTGCAGTTGCCGCGCCCAGATGAGCTCTAGAAAAGGCTTTAGAGAATTCCAGCTGCACTATAGCTGAAGATGAATGAATCTGGCGAGTGATATCCGAATTAGGAGCAACAGTTGATTAAGGATATGGGCTTATCTTCAACCATTTTCAACAACAATGAAGATTTTGGTAGAAATCATTTGACTCTTTTGTGGTACACCGATGGGTTTCTTCAAGAAGAGAGATGCTAAGACTTCGAAAGGAGCAAAGAAGGAGAGCACCAAGTACGCTCAAATTACCTTTAACGAGGATTGCAGCCACTCTTATAGATCAAAAACTTCAAAAACGCCCAAGAAGACTCCAACGAAAGTGCCACAAGAAAAAGAGAAGAAAATTGATCTGGCGCCTTTGAAAAAAGCAGGAGTGCCCATAATTTTTATCGTTGGTTAGTAACAAAGAAGTTGCATTTCGAATGGAGTACGCAAAATTTCAAATTCAGGAGGTCCCGGTTCTGGAAAAGGCACACAATGTGAAAAGATTGTTGAGAAGTATGGATTGTCTCATCTTTCCTCGGGCGATCTTCTAAGGGATGAGGTTATCCCCGTCATCAGTAGACGTACCCATTTGAATGTTCCGTCTTAGGTCAAATCAGGCTCTCCAAGAGGTGCTAAACTTGCGAAAATCATGGAAGCTGGACAACTTGTCCCACTTGTAAGTCTAGCCTCAAAAGACATTCCTGAGTTTCTACTGGGCAGGAAGTGGTTTTGGACCTGATAAAGGAAGCGATGCTCAAAGAAGTAGCCAAAGGTAGCAAAGGATTCCTTATCGATGGTTATCCAAGGGAGGTCAAGCAAGGTGAACAATTCGAAAAAGAGGTAAAGCTATTGTTCTAGCCATCACGAGGTTAGATAATAGTCCGCAAATCTACAGATCCAGGAAGCAGCAACAGTGATTTTCTTCGATGTCAGCGATGATATTCTTATAGAACGGCTGCTAAAGCGCGCGAAAACTAGGTGAGTTCCCAATCATACTGACTAGGACCAGTCTCTGACGAAAAGTTAACAAATGAGCTTTGGCATAATCTTATCACAATTTCTAAATGGTCATTCTTCATGATTGACTTTATGCTGCGGTCGACACAACCAGCAGCCTGCACTCTGTGACTATGGGAAATGGGAATGAGACAGAACGGAATCGATAGATTGAAAATTCTGATCAAAAACATTAACGCGACCGAATTAAGCTCCTTTTGTCGCAAAACTTCTAGAGCACATGAAAGGCAACCACTTAGACATAGGATTTGAGCAGACACGGCGGCTTGATAGAAAATTTAACAGCTTTGTAAAAATTGTTGTACTCTTCTTTTAGCGGCATCTTACAGCAAAAACTATAATGTCATCACAGAACAAAATTGTCTTGACGTATGGGTCAGCAGTCAGCCGGCACAAATCAGAGGAGCTTTAGCCCATGTGCTACAACGCTTGAAAACGTAATAGAACACGATCGGTTAGATCAGTGAAGAAATGTCACGGAGTTTGGACCCTCTATCAATCGTAGCAGTTAACTACAACTAGTGAAAACCACTCCATTGGCAGTTACAGGATGAAGAAGCTTGCCAGAATTTTCAGATGTTGGCTTGGTCCTGTTAAGATTGGCTCTGAATCTTTTGGTAGGATGACGAATCTGCGCAGATGGTCCGACAGTGGGAAAGGTAGACAGTCTGTCAATGAAAATCCGTATAGAAATTATGGGCGACCTCTTCGTAACCAGCGGCATCCACGTTTTTGTCATGCAAAATGTAACCGTCTTCGTCCTGAAAGTGACAGGCGAAGCTTTGTCGGTCTTGCGTTTAAGCCTCTGTGGCATCAACCGTTCCTGCTGCTCTTCTGTCCTCGACGTCTTTTTTCATAGCTTCTCTCTTCACAAGCTCGACTTCAGCCAGTAATTGTTTGTGCCTTGTGTTAGCACGTTGGCGTTATAGTTTTAGGCGAAAGATGCTTGCTTCATACTTTTTACACTCTTAGTTTCCTAAGCGCAACTGAGAAAATTTAAGTCGAGTTATTCAAGATCCTCGTCGACGTTGTCAGTGATGGTATCTCGCCAAAATTTGAATATCAGTGAACACAGCTGACTTGATAACGGTTCTGAAACAAAATTACTGAGTTTGGTGGCTTTCTCTTCATTGTATTCTAAGCAGAACTCAGCACGATAGAGAAGAGGGTATATTCAAGTGTAGAACTTCGTGCCCATGTTCGTCAAGCAGTACCTTCTGTTGACACTAATGTGGTCAATCTTACAACGGTAATTTTCCACGGGGTGATTCTCAGGCATAGCGTGGGGAGGACTACGAGTATGAACTTCATAAATGGCGTCACGATAACTCAGAAAATATCTCTCCCCTTGTTCATTTCACATAGTCCAAGGTTCCGATGTGAAGTTCTGCGGACCACCTTGTTTTGAATTCTTGCTCTTCTTGGTTACCATGCTCTCAAAAAAAAGTTTCAGTGGACGTGCAGATGACAACAAGGAGACAATCAAGAAACGTCTCGATACCTATAAAACTGCTACGACACCGGTGGTAGACTATTACAAGAAGAAAAAGAAACTACATAGGGTATGCATCATAACTGGATCTTCTCTTCTTTTATTCTTCCACCAATCGATTGTGTTGCCAGATCGAAGCCAAAGGAACGGTTGACGAGATATTTGGTGAAGTCACAAAACACTTGGACGAAATTATAAAGAAGTGAGCAGATTGCTTTAAGACTAGCAAGTACGACAATCCACTCCTTTAAGGCCTAAAGCGCCCACTCCCACAAAGGTGCCTGGGCCTGTGAAGAAAGGAAAGATCGATTTGACTCCTTTGAGGAAAGCGGGTGTTCCAATTATCTTTGTTGTTGGTACGTGGTTAAGTTGCAATCTTAGACCCTCCCAAAATTTATCGTTTAGGTGGTCCCGGTTCTGGAAAAGGTACACAGTGCGACAAGATTGTTGAAAAGTATGGACTCTCACATCTTTCATCAGGGGACCTCTTACGTGAAGAGGTTGGTCGTCAAAAATATACTGAGCAGTTACAAATTCATGCTTTTTTTTTTAGGTAAAATCAGGCTCTCCTAGAGGCGCTACACTTTCAAAAATTATGGAAGCTGGCCAGTTGGTCCCTTTGGTAAGACAAATGTTTCCTTTTCTAAACAGCTTGGAGTCCTTTCGATATAGGACGTCGTCTTGGACTTGATTAAAGAAGCAATGCTCAAGGAAGTAGCCAAAGGAAGCAAAGGCTTTCTTATTGACGGTTATCCTAGAGAAGTTAAGCAAGGCGAACAGTTTGAGAGTGAGGTTAGCGATTACGCTACCCCTTGTCATTATCATTGTCAAAATTTTCTATTCGTCATTGTCTTTACTCAATAAAGAATTCAGCAAATTTCAGATCCAGGAAGCAGCAACAGTGATCTTCTTCGATGTTAGTGACGATATTCTCGTGAAGCGTCTGTTGAATAGGGCAAAGACCAGGTACACCCTTCTAGAAATTTTATTAGCACTAAAAAATTTGCTACAATCTGTGAATATTCACGCTGATATGGACAAAGTTCTAGAAGGTCATGATTTTAGCGGGCGAGCAGACGACAACGAAGAAACTATCAAAAAACGTCTGGAAACATACAAAACTGCTACGACACCAGTTGTGGACTACTATAAAAAGAAGAGGAAGTTACATAGGGTTTGAAAACGACAAAATCTATTTCGTGATAACAGTCGTATAGTTGATTACAGATAGACGCCAAGGGAACAGTAGATGAGATTTTTGCTAAAGTTCAAGAACATCTGGATGACGTCATCAAGAAGTGAGTGCTCATCAGATTTTCTGGCTTTTTATAGCTTTGCGTGAGAGAATAATTTTTAGGAAGAAATCTGTAGAATACTATAAATCCAAGCTAAATACACTTGCTAGAAGTGTGGTAGATATGAAAGCGTTGAACAAAGCAAATGTTCCAATCTTCTTCATAGTCGGTCAGTAAAGTAATAACTATTTGGAGTCAATAAAAACTGTGCATTTGGATCAGTAAAGTCAAAATTTGTAGGAGGTCCTGGTTCTGGAAAAGGTACTCAGTGCGAAAAGATTGTGTCGAAATATGGTCTGACTCATTTGTCATCTGGAGACCTCCTGCGAAATGAGGTAACGCAGTACGACTGCCGAAAAAAGTGAAAAAATTTTTGGAGTTTAGGTCAAATCTGGCTCCCCAAGAGGATTTATCCTTTCTTACATTATGGAAGCAGGAGAGCTCGTACCATATGTAAGCTGACATTTAGAAAGTTATAATAGAAGTCCTATTTCCATCAATTTTACTGTAGGAAATAGTGCTGGATCTATTGAAAGAAGCTATTGTCAAAGAAGTAAAGAAAGGCAGCAAAGGATTTCTTATTGATGGCTACCCTAGAGAAGTCAAGCAGGGAGAACTGTTTGAAGGAGAGGTCGATACATCGTTTTCGTAAAATTACACATCTTATGGAACTTTATAGATCCAAAAAGCCAAATCGGTCATATTTTTCGATGCTTCGAATGATATTTTGGTACAGCGGCTATTGAATCGCGCCAAGACCAGGTAGCCGCGCCGATTTTTCCGCTAGAAAAAAGATCTTAATAACCAGCTTTTCAGTGGACGAGCAGATGACAATATGGAGACAATAAAGAAACGTTTAGAAACTTTTGCTAATGCTACAGCTCCAGTGGTAGATTATTACGAAAAGAAGAATAAACTTGTTAGAGTAGGGTTACCATTCACCTGAGGGGTGCTGTAACTATCGGTGTGTTTTTTAGATCAAGGCGGAAGGGACGATAGAAGAAATTTTTGCGGAAGTTGTCAAATATCTCGATGGGCAAATAGAGAAACCGTGAGCAAAAATAATCGTAGAGCAGAAAATACGCGTAAAAATTTGAAAAATTTCATGCATAGACTTTGACCTGCTTTTGCTCATCTAAAACAAAAACCCTATACTTTCTTTCGACGATGGGGATTGAATCTTTTTTCTAGGAAGGACTCACTTGGTTTTGAAACGAAATTCCTGGATATGACACCACTTAAGAAAGCTGCTTTGCCAATTTTCTTCGTTATAGGTACATCGCACACACAAAAACTTACAAACCGACTGCGAGAAAATTTGTAAAATCGACTTCTTTAGGTGGCCCAGGTTCTGGAAAAGGAACACAATGCGACAAAATGGTGGCCAAGTATGGCTTGTCGCACCTATCAACCGGAGATTTATTAAGAGAAGAGGTATGAGATTGAAACAACGGTTTTAGGACGAAATTGGTATGTTGCAGGTGAACTCGAAATCTCCAAGGGGAGAGAAATTGTCCCAGATCATGGAAGAGGGTAAACTAGTTCCAATGGTATGGTTTTGGCTTCAAAGTATTTGAAGAACTGGGTAAAAAAATTTTAGGATGTGGTTTTTAATCTGCTCAAACAAGCCATGCTCAAAGAAATTAGCAGTGGAAGTAAAGGGTTTGTAATCGATGGTTATCCTCGTGATTTAAAACAAGGGAGGGACTTTGAGAGTGAAGTAGGTTTCTTATAATTAGATTTGAAAATAGGCACCAATACATCATTTTCCAGATAGAAGAGGTCAAATCTGTCATTTTCTTCGAAGCTTCTGACGATACGCTAATTCAAAGACTTATGAAAAGAGCAAAGACGAGGTATACCCATTCTCGGGAAAAAATTTCCCTCTTACTAATTTCTGACGAAGCTCGCGATCTTTTGTAGTGGAAGAGCTGATGATAATATAGAAACTATGAAAAATAGTTTGAAAACCTTTTTGAATGAAGCTGGTCCTGTCATCGAGTACTACGAAAAGAAAAAGAAATTAGTCAAGGTTGGCAGATTGTTCTACATTAGAAGATTATAACAATAATATCAATAGATAAAAGCTGAAGGTTCAGTCGAGGAAATTTTTGCGGAGGTGGAGAAACAGTTAGATTCACAGGGTGTAAAGTAAGTAGTGAAGGCTTGAGCAGGCCAAAAACTAAGAGTTTATAAATCTTTGCAAAATTTTCGATGGATTTATTTTAGGGCATTAACAGAAGGTTTACAAAGAAAAGCAATTGACTTATCTCCATTAAAAGCTGCTAAAGTGCCTATTTTCTTTATTGTCGGTTAGTATAAAAATAAAAAGAACTCAAAACCTAGAAAAAACCAAAAGTTACCGTAATCGGAAAGAAAAGACGAGGAAAGCTTTTAGGAGGCCCTGGATCCGGAAAGGGAACGCAATGTGAAAAAATTGTTGCCAAATATGGGTTGTCTCATCTATCGTCTGGGGATTTGCTTCGAGAAGAGGTAAGAAAACTACAGAATTGCGGAAACTCATATTTTGAAAAATTTTCCTAAATTCAGGTCAAGTCAGGGTCTCCACGAGGAGCTCAGCTCAACAAAATAATGGAAGCTGGAGAACTGGTCCCGTTGGTAAGTGCCAATGTTTACTCCCCTTCCATTTCATTGCCTCCCTTCCTCAATTTCTTTAGGAGATTGTCCTGGATCTAATAAAAGAAAGCATCCTCAAAGCAGTCAACGCTGGAACCAAAGGATTCTTGATAGATGGTTACCCTAGAGAGGTCAAGCAAGGAGAACAATTTGAGAAAGAGATTCAAGAAGCAAAATCAGTGATATTTTTCGATGTTTCGGATGACATTTTAATAGAGCGCCTCCTCAATCGTGCCAAGACCAGGTATGCCAAAAATCGCTCGGAGTTCATATAACAACTCACTTCTCATTCAGTGGCCGTGTCGATGACAATCTCGAAACAATTAAGAAACGTCTAAACACTTTTAAAAATGCTACTGCACCAGTAATCGACTATTACGAGAAGAAACAGAAGCTCGTAAAGGTAAAAACTGTATTTCCAAGATTTTCCACGCAATCTCAAATTTTTTGAGTTTCCAGATTCCCGCCAAAGGCACTGTTGATGAGATCTTCGCAGTGGTTAGTGAACATCTGGACGCAGCCATGACCTAAAATGATGAATATTGATGTAATAATGTGAAAAACAAAAGAACATCGTCGACTTTCACTGATTTTAATAAGAAAAAATTTCAAAATGTTTTGTTTGCCAGAGCACAGATGCTTACTTCCAATTCGACAGACACCTTTTCCCTTCCCCCTTTATATGTAAATGGTTGTATGGACAAAAATTAGTGATATAAATTTTGAAAGTAGTAACCTTGTAAGGACTGCTGATGGCCTATTTCGCGTCCATCCAAAGAGACGTTGCGTTCCCAATTTTTGCGCGAGCTGGCGGCCAGCTGGCAATTATCGCAAGGGTAAGGTTAATTTAAAAGGTAAACTTTAACCTTCAGCCTAGAACTGTCCATTGGTGTACTAATGTGCCAAACAGTAACAGGTTTACACGAAAAACAATTACAATAATTGGAAAATTATGACAAAAACACCAATGACCTGCTTAGAAAACTGAACTCTAATAAACATAACATAAAAAGATACAAATGACGAAAAACATAAGGAATCTGAAATGAATGAAAATCTGGAAATTAACACACGACGATTTATCGGTGGAAAAACAAAAACAAAGCTTCAGTGACAATTTTTTGGCAAATTTGTTCACCGAAATTTGAAGAAAAGAATAGGACAAGATTTCAACATTATATCACCTATGTAAAACTGATTCATCAGTCAAAAATTCTGCTTGTTCATTGTCTCAATCATAACTACTCAAACTTCGCGACTATCTGACAGCAACAGCTGACATCGCGGCTCTTATATTTCTTTCGAAACCGTTATGTACTTTATGGGGGTATTTGGGATCGACGATTACACTTATGTACAGAGTTCAGTTTGTGATAACGACGAAAATCCACGGTTTTCAACCAGTGTTGAAGCGCAAGTAACCTGAAAATGAGCAAATTCCAAATAAAAAGCCATGGGCTAGAGAAAGAGCTGTAAAAAATTCGATAGAGATTCTAAGGTGTCTTCACCTAAAATGGTGCAAGCTTAATCCTTGATGGCTTTTCTTAGGATAAAAGTTGTGTATTTAATGCGCAAATGAATTTTGGATGTTCATTCTTTCTTGGGGTTGTGAAATATTTTATTTCCGCATTTACTACACATTTACTACCTTTTCCACACATAGGAATGGCTTAAAATTCTCACAATCATGGCTGTTACGCAATTTGAGAAAAACTACCACTGCAATTTTCAGCGCGCCATTGTATTCTGAATGTGAAAAAAACGGGGCCTGGATAAACGCTATTGATTCACATTCAAGCTATTCAGTGCTATAACTGCTATACACTTTCCTGAACATTCTTCCCATTGAAATTTCTCAGAAAATAAAGTGCACAATCACTTCATTTTTTTCAAAAATAGACTTTGAAAAATCGATTTTGTCCTGAACAAACGATGCATAGTGCGGGTGTAATGCGGTACTTTTGCCAAACTAGAAGTGCTGCTGTCCTTGGCATTCGGAGATATTTTCTAGAATTTCGCCCTTGCTTTCGACCTCAAATGTCCTCCCCCAACTCAATCATTCCTCTCTCATGCGCTGCCAATGTGTGGCCGTCTTCTCCTATCGATTTCGGACTTTTTACTCCATATCCTTTGCTTCATCTATGAGTAGCAGCCATTTATCAACAAAATTTGCTCACTTGGACGAGTTTACTTGCTTCCCATATTTTCATTAGCTACAATATGGCTTATTCTAGCGCTAGACCGCTCTGGCTCCAAAACTTTATCGCAAGCCACGACCTCGAATTTTTTTAGAGCGTTTTCGAGCAATTTCAGCCTCTACTCTCGGGCATAAAATGCCAAAAAACTGTGCAATTTTCTTCTTGCTTCCCTCAAAACCCTACTCTACTGCAGTTTATCGAACAAATGCCTGAGAACAATACGTGCTAATTCATATGTTCTGCGGCTATTTGAGCTTACAGCGAAGAGAATGGGCACTTCACTGCTTTGGCTCAACTGTCGGTTTTTGCACGTTAGTTAGCGATTTTCAGCAATTTTTATTCTATGTCGTTGGATGAGAAGTACTTGCCTTCAGGGGAAAAGTTTTGAAGAATTCTTTTGTCCAGTTCTAGTTTGCTTCAAATGCACATATAATACAATTGGTGTGTAAAAATGTGCTATCACGCCATTTCCGTGCAATTGCACTTAAATTCAATTTATTAGGCGTTTGCATCATCCGATGAAGTACTCTCTCCAGCTGCCTCTCGATGTTTGGAAGCATGTTCTTAAGTACTAAAGTGACTAAATCTACAGAAAAAATCTATATTAGAATATCACTTTTGGTACCATTGATCCAGGCAAACGGTCTCGCAAACTGTTCATAAACAATTAATGATTGTTGTGTCAACGAGAAAAATTGTTTTTGTCACCTACTCATAGAACGTGCAAGGCCAAAGACCAACTGAAATGAACGGTCTCGTTGCTGGGAAAAAGAATCGTTTAACATCAAAGGAACCACTTAAAACTCTTCCTCGTTCAAAAAAATTGTAAGAAAATAATTTCAGAGTAGGAAGGCATGAAATGTAGAGAAATATGTCGTTTGCTAGTTGAACTAAGAACCAGCTGGCCATAATAACTGCAAACCACAGCTGTGTCAACTATGCTTCTGCGCTGTCCTTATCAGATGGGGATGTCTGCCCCCCAGACTTTTTGAAGGTCGTGATTTGTCTCAAACGACCAACTTTTGCTTTCGTTATTGTTATTGTTGTATATGGAACTCCAGAATTCAAAACAAGTACAAATAGGTTGAAAAAATTTTGATAGTCTCTTTTGAATCATCGTATTTTTTATTTATCATCATATTATTTTTATTTATTTATTATCATATTATTCGTTTTTTGAAAAGTTTTTCAAAAAACATGGGTGATGTCAAAATTATTACTTCTTGTTACTGTTATGACATTGTTCGAGATCCTAAGAATGAAATCATCTGCTTGGGCTGTAGGCTCAAGACAAAGTTTCTTAGCATCATTTGTTTTTCTTTTAATGGATATTAATGGATATCCACCTGCAGCATGTCTTTTTGCAATCTCAGCGACGGCGCTCAATCTCTCGTTTCTCTGTCGTTCAACTTTCTGTGCAAAAATATGTTCCCTTGTTTTTTATCACTTGCTAGGCTATCTTCTCCAGCAATTCCTCTAGCTTTTGCCGAAAAACTCAGTAAACTTTCTTTTTTATGTTTTCTATGGGATGTGTAAGAATAGACTTCTGGAGTGTACTAGAACAAAACATATTTTCAAATTTTTTAAAAGTGTGATGAATTTTTTCGGAGGTTGGTTTTTCGCTTATCAAGACTAGAAACTTCAGATAACATGAGTTTTAAGTGTAGCAAAATTTTACATCGGATGTTCCAACAAAAACTCCTCGTTACTTGAAATTAGCAAACTTTGTACATCTAATTACACATTCTAAGAGTAGTTATAAATAGTTTGATAGTTCTCTGAACGAAAGCTGTTACAAGCATAATTGAAAGGCATTTGAACAAAAATGTGAAAAGAATGTCTGAAAAAGCAGGAAGTTTATGTGAAATTTGAATGAAAGAGTACAAAAGCAAATTTGATGTAATAGGTTGTTTTTCCTTTCAATTTTCTGAATCTCTGCGAGCAATTTCAACTTTTCCGTTTTCCCTATAGATTCCTGAAATCTGCGTGCATTTCGCCGATACATTATTGTAAAATCACTGAGAAATAAAAATTACTTCCTGTTCTGCGTTGGCACGCATCTGCCGCCTACTTGCCACTGCTCGACAGCAGCACTTTTCTCCCGTCACCTTCAGGCTCTGCTACCCCTCGATTGCCCTTTGCGGCCAGCTAATTAACTTGCAAATCTTGAAAATCAATCACTTTTTCTTACCGCGTTGCTTTTTCCCTAGGGATTATCATTAATTGAGAAAATCGCAATAGAAACCAGCGATTTTGTGATTTCTTGGCGTCATAGTGCACGCAACAGTCAATTATCATTTGTTTCAATAGAGATATTTTGCTATTGACACTAATCTGACAAAGAACTGTCGATTAATATTGACTTAGGGGTTTTTTGCGGGGATTTTCGCCGAAAACTTCCTGGAAACTGTGTAATTTGGTCAGGAAAAATGCAGAATTTCCGCATCAAACTTGTCATCCAGCTAGCCTTTTTTTAGATATTCGGATTAACCTCGGCAAACCCGCCAATGCGAGCACTTCCAATCGCTCTTCTCTGCCGGGTTTAGTGTAATGCACAGAGCGCGTTCTACAATTTTTTCTCCGTACCTTGCAGAAAAGAATCAGAGACACATGACGTCGATTGTGTGCTCCGCTCTCAACGCCACACACTTCTCCCATTGCTTCGCGTTGGTACTGCGGCACTTTTGCCTTTGACCCCCCCCCTCCACCCTATTGTCTCTTTCTATTTGCAGATTTTGTACTTCACTCTAAGCAGCATTTATGCTTCTCCTTGTCTCATAACACTTTACCATATTCATTGAAACGAAGGGTCTAAGTCATTCAACTTATTTAGCCGTGATAAAACCGAAAAGGTAAAACGATAGAACTGTTTATTCAAAATTTGCAGAGCAATTTATGAATGCTTATCACCGTCATAACTAAAGTCAAGAAAGATCATTAGCTGAACTTCTTTGGCGGATTCATCATCTCGAATAAAATGCTCAAGCTTTTGTTTACGACATTTTTCTAACATCACATAGTATCAAAAATACACAATTTATCCATCTATTCGTGAATTTAAGAGATTTTTTGGTTTTGTACATAACGCACTAATTCGCAGATTTTTTCAATTCATAGATTTCAAATGATTTTGGTTCCAGAATCTTCTTTTCATTGGATTGAAACATAAGCCTTGCACCAAAAATCATTCGAAAAACTTTTGAAAATTTTTTGGTGGTCATTTCGATTTGTGTAATATATTTGCTGCTGTTTAATTACAAAGTATTTTATACCGAACATTTATTTCACATTCAAAATTGGGAAAAATGGCAAAAACTATAACCTTACGTAAGCATAACCATTAAGTTCTAATCGGTATGAGACCTTAGCTAAAGAGCGTAGATGTTGCGCTAAAAAACTTCAGCTATCGAAAAAGTTCGTTTGATGACCTTTTGAAGTGAGATGTATACTAGTAGATGCGCTTTGAACCGTAATTCCAAATCTATGTTCATCATCTACTGTGCGACTCTCTAAACGAAGTAATGGACTAATTCTATATCAAATTCACGAGATCTTCGTAGTTGGATCGAGCATTTTAGACACTGATGCTTCGAAGACAGTTTTCCTGAGCTCAACTTAATGCTTTATTTTATTTGGTCTCTTTTTTATTGGTGCTGTCATCAAAACAGGCAAATTTTTGTGGCAAGAAATGTTCACAACTTTTTTTGGAAGGAGCTCAGCAGATAGTGAAAGCAGATTTGGAATCAGCTTTAAAACGCATTCAATGGTGCACCATTTATTCCAAAAGGCCACGGTCACCAAGTATCCTTTCCTTGTTAGGTATTGACAGCCATGTCTCTGGAACATAAACAAATCTAGAATTTCCTTTTTCAAGACTTTTTGTTATTTTGAAAGTTTCGCTTTCTTCAAACCTGGGCATAATTCGTATAGTAGAAGTACTTCTGTGCCAAACAGGTTTGTTAGGTGTTCCTTTATTTCCAATCACGGCCTAACGTTAGGCCGTGATTGGAAATAAAGGAACACCTAACAAACCTGTTTGGCACAGAAGTACTTTTTGTTATTGTTTTTTCTAGTGTATTTGAAATGGAAATTTTAGAAAACAGAAAACAATACATTTTTTTGAACCGCAGCAATAAACATCGCTTCAAGTGATTTTTCTCCTGCAATTACGTTTCTGCCTAGTGCAATGTACTTCCTTAGATTAATTTGTTTTATTAACTACATTTCCTTCCACTCCATGCACTTTGATATCTTAGCACCAAGAGCAATGCACTCATTATGATTTAGTGCACAGAGTGCAACGATATACCCGATTTGTTACCCTTGGTTACCGTTTAATACTCGTGCTTTGAAATTTGCCGCGTCATTCCCATCCTTGACCGTCCTTCGTTCTCCAATATGTATGCTTCTCTCTACAGAATGCCCGCTATCGAGAGGAAGAAGATCGATCTCACTCCTTTGAAGAAGGCAAATGTTCCCATCTTCTTCATTGTCGGTAGAGTTTGAGTCATTTTCGGGACTTGAGTAGGTCAAAAAATGATCTGGTTGGTTTTTCAGGAGGCCCTGGATCGGGTAAGGGTACACAGTGCGACAAGATTGTGGCAAAATATGGTTTGTCACATCTTTCGTCTGGTGATCTTCTCAGGGATGAGGTAAATAATTTTTTGTATTAATTTTTCATTTTATACATTTTTTTCTTTTAGGTAGCCTCTGGATCACCTCGAGGTGCTGAGCTCACTAAGATTATGGAAGCTGGAGCTCTCGTTCCCTTGGTAAGAAATTATAATTTTTGCTACCATGGGAACTCAAAAACTTTTCGAAAATAATTCTTGCTCGGAATTATCTATTTCAGGAAACTGTCCTAGACCTCGTCAAAGAAGCCATGGTAAAAGAGGTTGAAAAAGGAAGCAAAGGTTTCCTCATTGACGGTTACCCGCGTGAAGTCAAACAGGGTGAACAATTCGAAAACGAGGTGGGTAAACTTTCCCTTTATCTCTACAGTACCTCTACAGTACCCCTTTCCAGATCCAAGAAGCCAAAGCAGTCATCTACTTCGAGGTTTCTGACGATATCCTAGTACAACGACTTTTGCATCGCGCCAAGACCAGGTTAGTCCTTCGTCGTTCCCAGTACCGTAACATTACCGTAATCTAATACCTCTCGATTTTAGTGGACGTGCTGACGATAATATGGATACTATCAAAAAGCGCCTTGCAACCTTCAGTAACGCCACAACTCCTGTAGTCGATTATTACCAGAAGAAGAATAAGCTAATCACGGTATTGTTGTGAAAAGTCTTGTTTCTAAGGCCTAGATTATTTTGAAATTTTTAGATCCCAGCTTATGGCACCATTGACGAAATATTCGGAGTTGTAGAGAAGCATCTCGACCAGCTCATGGGCATCAAGTAAGTTCAATCAGTCTAGTTTTTCCTGTTTTTCGAAATTAGAGACTTTTGAGTTCTCTGCCATGATTGGTTAGTGATTTGAAGAAGAATATTCTATTCGAATTTTCTAGAGAATTCTTGGAACGAAAACCCATTGACCTGACCCCACTGAAGAACGCTCACGTCCCGATATTCTTCATTGTAGGTAAGCGAACGTCATATCACTGTTCGAACTCTAAACAATTTTCTTTTGCATTTTAGGAGGTCCCGGCTCTGGAAAAGGCACACAATGCGAAAAAATTGTTCAAAAATATGGCTTGTCCCATCTTTCCTCCGGTGATCTACTCAGGGATGAGGTTAGTCATTTCAAGATGATTTTAAATAAACTTCTATCACATGAAAGAGTGAGTTAAGGTCGCATCAGGCTCTCCTAGAGGAGCGCAACTATCGAAAATCATGGAGGAAGGAAAACTGGTGCCATTGGTAAGTGTCTGTTTTGGAAGAATTTCGAGAACTTTTTTATAATTTTTTTATAATTTTTTTACAAGAGAAATTCCCATACGCCTTTTTTCCTCCTTGAAGGAGTTTTACACATTTTTGCGCTGTATCTGTCAAAATCGAATTCATAACAAGAAAAAAGTTCGGTCATATTAGGCTGGTAAAGGAAGTAAATTATGAATTGCTGCTATCCCACATGGCCAGATTATCCCAGGAAGATGTAAAAAGAAGAAATTTCATATCAAACTAATAGTGGACGTTTTAGGAGGTTGTGTTGGATCTAATCAAGGAGGCCATGCTGAAAGAGGTGGCCAAAGGAAGCAAAGGATTTTTGATTGATGGTTATCCACGGGAAATTGCTCAAGGAGAGCAGTTTGAACGCGAGGTCAGTAATTTTGTTCTATAGTCACTTCAACAGTTTTATGTCCTACGCTTTCAAGAATTTGTATTTTGCGCACAATTTTTGCAGAGCTTCTAAAAAATATTTTATTTACAGATTCAAGCCGCCAACTCCGTCATCTTCTTCGATGTTTCTGATGACATCCTTGTTGAACGACTTCTACATCGCGCAGAAACAAGGTGAGCAGATATGTGATAATTTGTAAATTTCTATCATTTTGTCAGCCATTTCAGGTTGGTTAAAAAAAAACTTGGAATTTTGAACTTCCTCATTCATAATTGGAATTTTTCAGTGGTCGCGTTGATGACAACATGGAAACGATCAAGAAACGATTGCACACCTTCAGCACTGCTACAGCCCCTGTTGTTGACTATTACGAAAAGCTAAAGAAACTCATTCGAGTAAGCCTTGGAAACCTAGAAACCACCTTCTCCGGTTAAAGATATGACATTTCAGATCAAAGCTCAGGGTACTATTGATGAGATCTTCTCCATGGTCGTTCAACAAATGGATGTTGCCCTAGCAAGGACCTAAGCATGCCTTGTGGAGAATTACATACCATCGTTCACTAGTCTTGATAGATACCAGATACGGAGTTATATATGCTAGCGATTTTATGTGCCTAATGTTTTCTATGAAAAGAATTCTATGCGACCATTGTTTTCAATTCCTGTCTGAAAAAACACGCGGAGAAAACTATGAAAAAAAAACAGAAAGTGTAGAAAGATTTTAGTGATGCTAAGAACATGTCTACCGCATTCATGGCTTTGAAATCTGCTTCAAGCGATGAGTGAGTAGAAAAGGATAAGGTTGAGATTTATAGAAGAGATAGGAATAAATGGAAGCGGAGATGAAGTTGTGAGGATGAGACTTGAAATGGTCTCGGTGTTAGTAGTTGAGCAAGGCAAAAATAACTTTATAACACGCTACCTATGGAGAAACAGCTTCGGGGCATTCGATAGCAATTTTATTCATACTTTGTTTTGTTCTCTTGACTGCGTATGCGCAAACCAATATCATTATCCATATAATACTGCGTGCTATAGAAAAACCTATAATTCAAGTTTCGAAGCAACATAGTTACATCTCACCTTTCGCGCGCTGCGCAAGACCGTTGAAGCATGAAATTAACTGCCCGTTGTGATGACGATGGACTTTCTCCAACGATGTTTCAGCACTTTTAGGCGATAAGGCGAATGTATAAGGTTGCGATTATATGCTTTGAAAATTCCGCCACTACCGTTGTTGGGTTCTTTTCAAAGGTGCCGCACATGAAAGTGGGTAAACTGACAACGGAAGTTTGTTTAGTCGAAGTGGCCTTTCTGAATGAGATGTGTACCGTATTAGAGGGCATAAAATGCTGATTATAAATCTGCCTTCCTTATTTGCAAAACATTTATGGACCAGGAGTTGTGAGCGTTTTTAGGAGCCAAAAATTAAATGTGCATTTGAGATAAAATGAGTTGTTAAAATCTTATCAACCCTCAAATAATGTCACCAAGTTTGATATATTTTTTATTTTAGAGTATATTTGAATAAAATGCTCTGATGATTATCACTGCTCCATTGAAGAGCTAGAAAGAATATTACGGCTATTTTTACCTACCTGCACATTTAATTTTTGCTCCAATAAGCGCTCATAACTCCTCGCCCTTAAACGTTTTGCAGATAAGGAAGGCAGATTTGTAATCAGCATTTTATGCCCTTCAATGTGGTATAACTCCCATCTAAAATTTCTTGTGAGCGGTTTCACAAAAATGTGCAAAAGAGATATCAATGATGTGCTTTGTACTTCGTACTCAATATTGATAATCTGTATATTGCATATTCTGTTACTGTTTGCATGATATATATGGACATCTTTGCATCGTTTTGATCAATTATTTATTTATATAACTCACACAAAAGTGTCTCAAAATCCTACACGAAAAGAAAAGCAGTAAGCGAAAATTACAAGTGGTCGAAATTTATCGCAATCTTCTTGCTAAAGAGCCAGGTCGTTTTTCTTCTCCAAGAAGTGAGTGAAACTCAGGAGATCCTTCCTTACTCAAACATGTTATGGAAGGCAGAAACTACCAAGGCTTGGCTGACCAACTTAACCACAGGCGGACAAATTTGTTAGGAGTCGTGGATGAGTGCTAAAGAGGAAACTCAGGGAAGACGGCTCATTGGTCTCTTCGATCTCTTTGAACTACTGTTCCAAGCAAAAAGAATATTCTAAAACTTTCGAGAGATTAGCGTAAGGAGAGTCAGTTAAAGGCACTGGCTCGGCAACTCCTTGATCTAAATTTTTTGCGCATCTGGGATAATCCGACGCGCTGATCCTAAAAATCCAAAGACGCGAAAATGGGTGTATGTCAAAAGGCACGATTTTTATTGCCAGATGGACACCAAATAACACGTAATAAGTGTTTTATGACTTTCTAAAAGTTTACAAGTTTTAGAACAAGATATATTAAGTAGTCGCATGAGATGTTCAATTTTAAGACCTTGAAATCATTTCATGGCGAAAACCCATCCACCGATGCTCTTCATCTTGAATTTTGGCGAGTGGATCGTAAGAGAGCGCGTAAGAAAGGCTTACATGCACGTTGCACGTTTTTAGAGTAGGTTTTAGCAGGAGCAGCATGCTGTGCGCTCGGAGTTGCCCTGTTTTCATAGTTGAGAAGTAAGCAATCCACCACAGTAGAACTCCGAGATGCTCTGTTTTGCCGCGCCATGCTTTCAATATACAAAACAAAGCGTTTTTGGAGATACTCTGCAGAACTCTTGCGATAAATTCGATATAGCATTATCTTTAAAATAAGAATATAAGTCTGACAGGATCGGTTAGGTATTTGCGTCAAAAAAGACCAAAAGAAAGCAAATCTGTTGCTATCTAAAAATTGAGCAGAAAGGCAAGTAAAACATGAGCAAAAGAGTATTTGTGTAAATTCGTCAATAATCAGGTCCCAAATGCCAGATTGAATGTGCCTATTTCTTTCACCTAATATGTAGAGTGGTTTACATTAGTCTTACTATAATATTTATTATAAAAGTTGTATGCAAAAAAATGGAAAGGCGGAAGATTACCTCGGTCCTCGACGTGCGGAGGTAGTGCCAGAGGTTAGCCATATATCATTTCATACCAACCTTCATTCTGAGCAGCTATTAGGAACCAGTGCGTCACCTCTGCTTCGCAGAGGCTCGCACTGGCCCTACTTTCTGTATGCTTTACTCATTCTCGCACAAAAGTGACGATGAAACTCACTGCGCTATGCCGACTATCACGAATGATTTGTAAACAACTATTCATTTTAAAAGCTTTTCCATATGAGATCGGTAATTTCGCGTGAATGAAACTTCTCCCAAAGGAACAAATGCTGATTTGAATCGGTTTTTGGAGTTTTCATGGCTTGGCATTTGCCATAAGATTCAATGTCACCGTGGGCTACATCTCTGTGCAAAAATCTTTTCAAATGATCGGGTAAAATCTTGGCAAAGTGAACACTTATGCAACCAAATCTTTTCGGCGCCGTTTTTGCAAATTAGTAAACTTTAGTCCAATTTTTTGAGCTAAAGTCCATCGTTTGCACATTAACTTGTCAAACAATCCGTGACCTTGCAAAAAGTTGTGTGCTACAGGCTCAATTTTACTGACCAAAAGCCAAGTGGATCCGATTGACGCGTATTTTTTGAGGGATCCACCAACGGATTCGCTCATGCCTTAGTACAGTGGACTCCCATGTAATTAGCATGCTCTGTGCAAAATTTGGGCTCAAGAAATTCATTGGAACTCGCTCCATGAATTTCATGACAGACAGAGATTTAGACACACACACACACACAAACGTAAACAACCCTTAGCCCGTTATTATAAGTTACTAGCTTGTGGCCCCGGTCTCACCCGAGAGTTCAAGTTAGTTAAGCCAACAGAACTTGTAAACTTACGCCTCCAGATTTCTTCTAACATGCGCATAAAGCGCTTTCAGACTAACTGCCGCACCCTACCAACTTTAAGACTGAAATGGACTTTACCGCCCCTGCTTACATGCTTATATGTAAAAATGATTGGTTGCCATGATGGCCCTTCATTTTCTTAGGTTTGAGTAAACAAATCAATAAATCGATAGAAAGGCCCGGCGAATCGCCGCGGAAAGTAGCTCTAAACCACCGCCGGGGTCGAAAATATACGTGTGCGAAGTTTCAGCCGGATCGGTTCAGTGGCGCGCGTTTCTATAACGAACGAACAACTAAACGAACATCCTCACAGACATTGAGTTATATATATATATATATATATATATATATATATATATATATATATATATATCAGTGGCGTACCCAGGATTTCGGCTCGGGGGGGGGGGGGCGCGACAAAAAATTTTTTCTAATGAAGGTGCGTGGCGTTAGCCACGCACTCCGAAAAAATTTTTGGGGCGCTTGTCAAAATTTTTGTGGGTCCCCAACCCCTAAAATCTGGAAAAAGGGGGCGTGGCGTCAGTCACGCCCCCGAAAAAATTTTTTTTATAAGGCTAATTTGAATTTTTAAAAAATTTTAAAAATTATTTTAATTATTTACAAAAATAAACAAGTCGTTTGCACATTTTTATAACCCATATAGGTAACTTTCAAAAATTTCGCGACCCATTCTCGGGGGGGGGGGGGGGCGCCCCCCCCCGCCCCCCCCCCCTCGGTACGCCACTGATATATATATATATATATATATATATATATAGATGATTAGCTGCACCAAGAAACTTCCATTCCTTCTGAAAGCTCACCCTCAAGCTTGTATAACTGCTGGTGAAGACCTTTCGTGTAACATGTGAGCCTATACGACGAGATCATCACGAATTTCGACTTCGGTACTCATTAGAGGCAGCTAAAGACCTTCACCTCGAGGTCAGCATAAAGATGTTGATATCCTTATATGTAGCGAAATTCAGAAATAGTTCCAATGGTGTTCATCACACAAGTTGTATAAAGGGGAGAGGGAAAGGACCGCGGCTTTCTTCGGCGGTAGGGGATCTCAACCACCATTTTAGGACAAATTTCATCTTAACTTGCTGAGGGGTTAGCTGCACCTGACACATGCGCCCTGTCATTATCTTCGTTTTGAATCTTCCAATGTTCTTTCACTTCTTCGTAACATGCACTCAGTTAGTAAGTGACCCTGCAGATAACAAAAGCACGCTCATTGTTAGTAGGGGCTTCTACTGTGGAGAAGAGTACACGTCGATCTTCAAAAATGCGAAAAATCACTGCTTGCAGTCAGATGGCAGTTGGCCTGATGCTATCGTCTGATGTGGGCAAGCTAAATTCAAATTTACCGCTGCGCTAGGACACTGCGCGCAACTCGTTTTAGGGAAAAGCTCGCATTGTTGAAATAACCTTTGATATTTGTAGCCTAAAAAACCAAAATGTTTCCACGCATTCAAAACAGGTTCAAATAAAGTAATGAAGAGCAAAGCAAACGTAACGGAAGTACTTGGCGTTATTAGGTAATAAATCTGTTACTCAAACAACAACATCCGGCAGTGATCGCACTATCACATAACTACCATTACAATTCTCGTAACGTTACTTGATGGAATCCGGCCTTTATTATGCTCTCCTTACGTACTCATCAGCAAAAAACACAAAGCGAGTTGTGTATTTCGTAAGACGCTTCATGTAATGCGACTCGAACGACTCCGGTTCCTCTCCTACAAAAGCGAACCTGCTACTGCTATGAATCGATGGAACTTCTCACGGTGCTCTTCCATTCGATTCTATTTCTAATCACTTCTAACGCAGAGAATTTGAAGGAAAAGGAAGATGGTGCGTTGATCATTTGTCTTGGCTGTGCACACAAATTTGTTTCCTTTTCAATCTTTGTTTCAACAGTTGCATTCAAATATTGCATACTGGGTTTTCTATATCAGTCAAGCCACGACACAATGCTCATATAGTCTGTCGAAAACTATGAACTCAAAAAAATTTGTTTTAGCCAATTTATTTTGACCAGTGTGTCACCTCTGCTTCGCAGAGGCTCGCATTGGCCCTACTTTCTGTATGCCTAATTCACTCTCGCATAATAATGGCATTGAAAGTCACGAGCCATGCAGGCTATCACAAATGATTTGTAAACAACTACTCATTCCTGAGCTTTTTGTTTGTGATCGGTATTTTCGCGTGGATGAAATTCCGAGAAGGATTAATGCGAATTTGAATTGGTTTTTTAACTTTTATGGCCTGATAGTCGCCGTAACTGCAATAATCGCCGTGGGCTACATCCCTGTGCAAAGATCTTCTCAAACGATCAGGTAATCTTGGCAAAGTGAACATTTATGCAACTTATTCTTTTTGGCGTCGTTTTCGTAAACTAATCAAGTTTAGTTCAATTGTTTGGGTTAATGCCCATGGCTTGCACATTAGCTTGTCAAACATATCCATGACTTCGCAAAAAGTGCTGGTACCGGCCCAGTTTCGCTGGTCAGAAGTCAAGCGGATCCGTGACGCGCAATTTTCAAAGGATCCATTCAGCGGATCCGCTCATGCTTTTGCATGGTGGGCTTTCATGCAGATAGCGTGTGCTATGCAAAATTTGGGCTTAGGACGTTGGCTGGAACACGCTCTCGAATTTCTAACGGACGATAGACACACACAACAAAACCACGTAAACACCCTTAGCCCGTTATTGTAAGTTACTAGCTGGCTTTCCCGGTCCAACCCAGGCCATTGGATACCTGCACTGCGAGCCTCCCCCCTCTTATATAGCATGGATGACTCACCCTGAGACATCCGCTTCGAAATCACATGCTCGTGATCCTAAGGTTGAAATGAGCTTCACCGCCCTCCTTTACATGACTATGGGAAAATGCTTGATTAAACATGATAAGCCTTCAATTCCTTAGAAGAACGTGAACAAATCAATAAATTGATAGAAGAACCCAACGAATCGCCGCAAACAGTAGCCTATCATCTGCAGGGGTCGAAAACATATGTGTGCAAAGTTTCAGCTGAATCGGTTGAGCGGCGCGCGTTTCTATAACGCACATACCCTCCAAACTAACAATTTTTGAGTATATATATACATGTATATATATATATATATATATATATATATATATACAGGGTGCCCGTAAAGTATGTATACACTGTTTGATCGTTAATATCTTTCTTCCCAACAAGTCTTTTGCCTTGCCTCAGGTACCGTTTTGTAGAGCTGGCTTCAACTTAGATTTACAGTATAGAGCGAATCACCGATCGCTCTTCATTACTGTAGGATTACGGCAAACTTGAAACACGGGTGTCAATGTGGAAAAAGCTGCCGTCTCAGAATTTTTCAAAAAATGTGAAAACTTGTGTAATAGGGTTTTTATGATCGCTGAGTTCAATACTCAACTATTCACAAGATTGCAGCTTTCTGAACGGTGTAACCGCACTTTTTAGGAACATTGAAAAAATGGCCGCTACCTCTTACCAGGCATAACTCTTACATGAAGCATCATAATAAGTTGGTGACTTTACAGTTAGAAAAAACAACTCTAATTAGCCTAGTGTAAAAGCTTTCAGGCTGTTTTGTTTCCTTTCTGAGGCAAAATATGGTCCTTCGTGGCTTTATAGTTTCTACCGTAATCCCACAGTAATGAAGAGAGATGGGTGATTCGTTCTATACTGCAAATCTAAGTTGAAACCAGCTCTACAAAAAGGTACCTGAAGCAAGGCAAAAGACTTCTTAGGAAGAAAGATATTAACGATCAAACAGTGTATACATACTTTACGGACACCCTGTATATATGTATATACATGAAATACACACATATATATATATATATATACTAGCTGGCAAACCCGGCTCCGCCCGGCCCTGTCATTATATTCGTAATCAGCATGCTCGATTACCCCCCTGCCAACTCCCAGCCCCGTAGCTCAAATTTTGCAAAAAATCGATAAAATCGATATCGATCGATAACGAAAAGTCGCCTATGACACGCTCCCTGCCCCGAAGTATATGTGTGCCAAGTTTGGTCCAAATTGGTTCAGAAATAAAAATTTCTATTCGGAACATACGTACAGACAGACAGACATACAGACAGACATACAGACAGACATTCAGCTTTATATATAAGATATATGTATATGTATAGATGATAGACATTTTCTGATAAAGCGGTGAAGCATCATAATTAGTTTATAGCAAACTGCTGACTTCTCGTCTCATGGCTCCGGAATGGGTGAAGGAACGAACACCTCAATTAGGCATCGCCTCCGCGGACTACTGGTCCCAACACAATGCACAACAGTAGGACGAAATGACCAGCAGTCCGCGAAGCGCTGCCTAATTAAGGTGTTCGTTCTCTACCCCTCCGGAATCAATTCGAAAATTTATATACCCTGATGACGCTTTGGGGGACTAGAATAAGCCCAAAATGGCTTGATTCTGTTTGAGGACTTGGTTGGAAAATCAGCACTGATACAAACCTTATATTAATAAGTGGGCAATGCATTATAATTTGCAAAAGCCAGTGAAACCGATTTGATCGTTTTCTTCGAAATCATAAATCATCTTAGCGTTCGATTAGAACAAATTTCTCACAGTCAAGTGAAAGATGATACTATTACTGACAATGTCAGATCTTATTTCTAAGCTTTTCAGAAACCTAATTGCAATAGAGTGAACCCCAGATTGTATCATCTGTGACTTAAATCTGCAAATCACTTTTCCTGTTGAGATTGGTAAGATTGCTAACTTCTTAACAGCGGACTTGTTGCTCAATTACTTGACTAAACAATCAGACAAGCAAGCTGATGATATGGGCTTACGCATCCTTCCAGGCAATTCCAAGGATTTTGCCGCCGTTTTTAAAGGTAGATAAAACCAATTTCCATGAATATCTCCCAACCTGAAAGCCTCATTTTGCAGTTCGATGTGGTCGATGCAGAACGTTTGTCAGTTTACTTGAATTGACCCACAAGTTCTTTACAGCAAAAATGAACAAAAAAGTTGTATCTTACACAAAATTTTTTCCTCCCAGCTGTCATATCCACAATGTGATTTATTGAGATAGTTCTGAGATAATCGCTGGAGATCACAACACTTCATATTCACCATGTCTAATATTCGCAGTTTACAAAAATTTTGAGAGAACTTGAGGGAGCTTCAAGAAGCAGCAGACAGGGCAAATCTTCTGCCATTTATAACAATTTTTCGTAGCTCTGTGGCTTGTCTTTCAAAAATCTTGAAATATATCTTTTAACCCATTGACGACGATGTGGACTACTGGTTACCCACGGGTTTTCTGATGCCATGGGCGATGTGGATCACCGTCACACCTGTTGCAAGGTCATAACCTTTGTAGGTCTAGTATCCCTTCCATAAATCCATATTTTTTCCTACTTATTGCACTCTTGGGACCTGTAGGGCCCGTCGTTTGAAAAATGTCCATAGTTTATCGCGAAGTCCAAGGCTGTTTACAAAACAGCCTTGGGTTTCGCGAATAACCACAAAACCTTCCCACAACGAAAGTGCTGTGCAAAATCGCGACGTCCCACAGCGCCGCCAAGCAACATTATACCATTTGATTCAACTGGCTTGGCTTCGGGAAGGCGGGGCTTCGTGACCTTATTAAGGCCAGGTAATGATCAAAGAGCATGCTCACGAGGGAGGCGCAGACTGCGTCGCGGACGCGAGCGTCCTTAATTAGGTCACAAAGCCCCGCCTTCCCGAAGCCAAGCCAGTTAAATCAAAAGTTACGTCGTCGTCAACGGGTTAAAGCAACCAAATGTCATATTCGGCTTATTCTGATCTCGTACACATAAAATGGTAAACAGTCTCGTTGCCATTTGTTGCAGCTTTTTCTCTTCTTTCTAAGAGTTGCCTTTTCTCGGCGAGAAATGCATTTGCGGAGAGAAGCGCAGCATTTCTAATTTCGCGTATGCGCACTGACGTACCCTATGTTTTGAAACTTTCAAGTTCTAAAGCTATAATGCTCATCTACTTTGAAAGGTTAGTAACAGTAATAATCGAGTTTCAAAACCTCAGTATTCAGAAGGTTGTAGTGTTTGGTGCAACAATAATCTGTCGTAGGAATTTTCCAAAACTTTTGAAGAATTATTAGTTCGGTCTGAAAGTTCGTGCCGTTCTTTAGACCCATACTCAAAGAACTTAAAATAACGATAGACAAATACTCTAAACAAAATTCGACGCAAAATTTCTTCCTCTTTTCAAGAGCTATTTTTTTGTTCAAATTACTTTGATGTCCGCTCGAATAATCGTTTGAATCTATAACCCATGGTTTCTACCCATTCTGAGTCAGTCTATTCCTTACAATTTTCATCAATTATTTCTTAAAATTTTTATTTTCTAACAGCTGGATAGAATAAACAAAATGCAATACAATGAACTATTTTGTCCTCTTCAACTATCTTTGCAGGAATTCCTAAGTTAATTTTCCTAAAAGCCTTTACTTTTGCGAAGTCGTGAAACACACCGATTCAAACACAGATCTTCAAAATTTAAAGCTTCAAAAAACAGCTTAAACGCTGATTTTACAAGCAACTGAGCATTTAACGATTTGAAATAGTGATTTCCGATTTTTCCGGGTACAGCGTGGGACGAGTCTCGAAAGAAAAATTATAATGATTTTATCCTCTAATATTATACAAATCAGGAGGAAAAGAAATCTACCAGAAAGAGTAGAAAAAATTGCATCGAATGACACCTGGTTGCTCGCAGTTCATTTTCTGTGACGATTGGGTTGCCCAAATGTGGAAATTGACAGCAACGAAAAAATACTATCATTGATATTTGAGAAGCCGGCTAGATGCCAAAAATATATAGTTTTGCATTTTGTTTACTCTATCCAACTATCAGGGCTAGTTAAAAAGTTGAAGATGAAGATTTGTAAAAATAGCCAAACACAGGGGTAATGTTTGTTGGAGACTTGTGCTACACATAAGTTCGTAAGTTTTTATTTTGGTAGCCATTTTTTGATGAAACGGTTAGTTTACAACAAAGTACCTGTACCATTCGGAAGAGCTAATTTGCTCTACATGAACTGTTGTTCGTTTCCACAGCAAACCTAGATTCCCTTGTTGCATGGCTTCTTAAAGCAAAGTTTTTTGGAAGGCAAAAATTGCCGATTTCGGCAAATGTCATCCGTAGTTGGTCCGCGTCCCGCAATGTTATCTTCATATGTAGGCAGATGGGCTGGTAGCAAGCAAGATTGGTATACTGACAAATGCAGCAGCTTATATGCCAAGAACTGTATGAATAAGGTGTCAGTAGTTCTCTCTTTGACTGCTACCGCTTGAGATTTGCGCGCTGTTTAGTCGGCCTCCTATTGGGCTTAACGAATGATAGATTTTTCTAACAAGGGAGGGACCCTCGGTCGAAGTGGGGTTCCCACACGTGATGCTTATCATTGTGCTGGTCTTGGGGCACTAATAACAGATCCGTGTTCCTTAGCTGCTCAATGATTTTGTGGGAGAAGTTATGAGCGATAGTTTCCCTCAGTGTGACCACGGATCGCTTAAGTTAGCGGCTCCGGGAAATGTTAGTTGTGGAGGGATGACCGAGTGGATAGCTGTTGAGACCATGGAGAAAGTGGTGAAAAGTTCGGAATACTTTTCCAAACATTCTTCCATTTTGTAGATTGTATTGTTTGATATGCATCCTCAAAGGGCCCTAAGGCAGAGAAACACCCGGCACCCGTTGAATAATTTGCAAAAAATGCGAGAATGTTTGGAACATAAGCATTCCAAACTTTTTAACACTTTCTCCTTGATCACAACAGCTATCCACTCGGCCACCCTCCCCAACTGACATTTCTCGGCGCCGCATTTAAGCGATCCGTGGTCATCCTAGGGAAACCATCGCTCGTAACTTTTTCCAGAAGATCATTGAGCAACTAAGAAACACGGGTTTGTTATTAATGCCCCAAAACCAGCACAATGATATGCATCACGTATGGAAACCCCACCTCAACTGAAGGCCTTTCCCTTTGAGTGATGTAGATGTATGAGTACAAGCTCTGGCTAACATTCTACGCTCTCCCAAAATTTTTTAGAGTAGGGAATTTTCTAAATTGTACCAAACGCAAAAGATCTACTTTTGCAGAAGTACGCTTTGTCCTTCTCTATATTGTTTCTTTAGATGAAGAAATTACTTTTATATGCACCATAACCGTAAAAGCTGTATTTCATCACTTCTAACATTTCGAAAAAATATTCCTACTAAATCTCCATATATGAATCGAAAGTTGCAGTTGCCGAGATCGCCAATTTTTGCCTCTCAAAAAACTTTGCTTTGAAAAGTCGTCAAACGAGGAGGTTTGAATTTGCGTCAAAAACGAGCAACATTTCTTGTAGAACAACATTGGTTCTTTTGATTAGTACAAGTGTGCCGTAAATCAACCGCTTCAACAAAAAATGGCTACTGTATAAAAAAGTTACGAACCTATGAAACGACCAAATATGTTTCACGGAAATTTATGGACTGAATATTTCACAAGCTCTTGACCTGTGGTTGTGAATCTTACATATCAAAAATTTTGAGAGCGAAGCAACTAGATTTTCAATCATTATGCCGAGAGTAGACCAAGAACTTTTGACATTGTAAAAATGAAGATTAGCTTACTCGTCAGCGGCGAAGTAAATATAAAAATAAAAATGATATTTTCTCACTCAGTATGAGCGGGTCTGGGTCTTTGGAGTTTTTTTGGAAAAAAGTAAAATTCTTCAATAAACTCCGGCTTAGCACCGAAGCTCAAGCCAATCACAACACCATGATACTATCAAAGGTTAGAAAAGTTATGGTTATTGAAACAAATTTCTGAAAGTGTGCAAAAATTATGAAAAAATCAACTATATCTAACAGAGATGCCACCTTGGGGTGCAAGCATAGCTGTCCCTGATTTGAACTAATTTCAACTAGCTGGCGTACCCGGCTCCACCCGGCCGGTAAAAACACTATGTTAAAGGTTACTATCCCTATTCCAGCACAAACTCATGTGCCCAGTTCTGCTTGCCAATTCCCTATCGCCGTTTTCTTTTCGTAATCAGCATGCTCACTTACCCCTTGTACAAGTTTCCAGCCCTGTAGGTCAAACGTTGCATAAAATCGATAAAATCGATAAAAGTAATCGATAATTCCAAAAAGTTATTTTGTACTCGTAATCAGCCTGCTCGATTACCCCCTGTGCAAACTCCCAGCCCCGCAGGTCAAACTTTTGAAAAAAACGGTAAAAGTCGATAAAGTCGATGCCGATCGATAGCGAAAAGTAGCATACGACACCGCCCCGCCCCAAAGTTTACGTGTGCCAAGTTTGGTCCGGATCGGTTCAGAAATAACATTTTCTATGGAACATACGTACATACATAAACAGAGACAGACAAACAAACAGACATTCAGCTTTATATCTAACTAGTGGACTTACCCGGCTCCACCCGGCCCTGTCATTATTATATTCGTAATCAGCATGCTCGATTATTCCCCTGTGCCAACTCCCAGCCCCGTAGCTCAAATTTTGCAAAAAATCGATAAAATCGATATCGATCGACGCGAAAAGTAGCCTATGACGCCCGCCGGGGCCCGAAGTGTATGTGTGCCAAGTCCGGATCGGTTCAGAAATGGAATTTTCTATTCGGAACATACGTACAGACAGACAGGCATACAGACAGACAGACAGACAAACAGACATTCAGCTTTATATATAAGATATATAAAGAAACATAAGCGCAGTTCAAAAATCTGCAAATACTGGGAAACGCATGGCAGTACTAGTTCGCGGATGCAATCTAGCGCCTTGATTAGTGGTCCACTAATAAGTTGTCTCATAATTAATGCACGTTTTTCTACTCTTATTGAAAAGCTGGTTCTCAAAGAAAAACCATTTCTCCAAAACCTTTCACAGAATCTGAAAGCCTGATTCTTCTAGTTTCTAGCGTATGCTTTCGTTTTCGCAAATCTTTGTTCAAGCCGGAGCTTCATGTCTTCAAAGACAAGTGACAAAAATACGAAATTCTTTACTTTCACTCTCCTTGCTCTAAATCCAAGAAAAGCCGACAATTTTTCTTCAAAAATTATGTATAGCGATTGCGAAGTTTTGTTCCACAAAATGCTTGTCAACATTGAATTTTTGAGAAATCTGAGCTTAGAAATCTTGTCTCAAACTTGGCTAGTCGCTGAGGCCCGTCTATGCTGCATAAAAATCTCAGGTAAGAAGAGACTGTTCGAAGTTCGCCATGTACAGCTAGATGGACCTAGTACAACTAATACTAGGAAAACGACAGCATTTTCTCGTCGTTTCGAGGAGAAAAGATTGAAAAATCCCAACAAGGCCCTTTTTTGGAATTTTCAAAATGCTGAAAAAAGTGGCTATTTCTGATTTTTAGGGAAAATCTTCTCGTAGAAAAAAGCCGTAAAGTCCAAACTTCGCTCAGTTGAAGAACCGATTATCGGCTGTATAATGAGCAAAACTTGCTTGATCCTAGTACATTTGAGAGCAAGTTAAGCTCTCTCAAAGTGCAGATTTATTCTTAAAAAATGTTCGGAAATGTATCATTCTAGAAAATTTTACAGAGTGGCTACGATCCCATAAGTGCTTACACTATATAGTCAAAGGTTTGATGTTTGTAGTGTTCTTTATTGCGCTCAGAAAGATCGTTTTGGAAAAGAATTGGCAAACTGTCAAACTAATTTGTAATTTGCATTCTGACAGAAAACTAATCTTTTCATCACATGATGACGATATTTTTCAGATTTAAGCAAAGAGCACTATGAATCAAACATCTTACCAAGATACAGTAAATCGACGCCATACCTTTATGAGGAGCAGCTTCCTTTACCAGTATATGGAATAGCTCATGGTTACCCGTATCGTAAAAAGGAGAAAGATAGTACAGACGACTATTCAATAGGAAGTACTCAGAGCTCACGACAGGATGACGGTGACCATACGTTTCATGATGAACTCCAAAAGGATACGCCGGAGTATCCAGACGATGACAAGCAGTACGACGGAGACTATGAGGCAGACAAGGAAAAATCAGCAAGCAAAGAACCCGAAGAGGAGGAACAAGAGGATGGGGAAGATGATACCGCACAAGAACAAGGACAAGATGAGTCACAAGAGGAGGATGATGATGAAGAAGATGCAGAAGAAGAACCACAGGGCCCAGAGCCGGAGCATAACGAACAAGAATATGAAGAGGAGAATTCTCATGCAAATGCAGAACCTGAACAAGCGAACTCCCGAGAGGAGTATGAAGAAGAACACGAAAAACCTGAGCGGCATCATAGATATCGACACCCAAACGGGAACGGATCGAAAGAGAGTGGGAATGGCTTAGACTCCGAACATTCGGATTCAGCACATTACGAGGATTCTGGACGAGGGAAGAAAAGAAGAAGGTATAGCGGTGAGCAAGACTCCGCTGAGAAAAAGCGAACACGGCCTCGCAAGCCACCGGATGGTAAAGTAGTCGGAGTGAATATGGGCGTCGTAGCAGGAGTGTACCCACACCAATCAAAAGAACCCAAAAACGAAATTCCCGGAAGGTATTCGCCACTTAGTGGTCCCTTCCCATCATACGAGCATGAAGAGACTACAACGCGAAGTACTGCAAAGCCTAAAAGAAAAACGAAAAAATATCGCAAGAAGCATAGACAGAGAGAACATACACGCTCACCCGATTACTCCTCGAACAGAAACAGGAGTCAAAAATCAAAAGAGCGGGCAAAGTGGGTGAATGTACAGATACAAGACGATGCAACATATGCGAAAACTCCGCAGCCCATCCGTTACGGTCCATTTGATGCATATTTCGTAGTAAGACCAGAGCCGTCGGGTCGTCAGCAGGGTGAATTCAAAAGTTTTAGTAGCTTCCCTAAAGGGATCCAACAGCAAGGTAATGAAAAATTTTCGCTTCTTTTGTAGCAAACCTCTCAAAAGTTATACTTAGTGAGCGGGACGCTGTCTGTGAAAACCCCAAGCGGGATTCATGGCTATAATGAGTACCCAGTTGACGTTGTACTCCAAACAAGACCAGCACAAGTTGAACCGCAGCTGGATAAGCCGCCGCAATCCACACAACTCGACGCGCAAGATGATTTGAAGGTGACGAACTACGAAAAGTGAGTTTCACAAAAGAAAACAAAATTGAATTGCGTTATATAGTTTGTTTACTACAAACTGAGGTAAAGCAGCTCTACATTTATCTTGATTCAACAATTATTGTCGATGAGGTAAATGAAAAACTCTAATTTCACTGTTTTGATTTTTTAACTAAGCAGGAAATGGTCAGAACACCCCACTCATACCAAACAAGCCATTTATCGTCGAGCTCGCCTTAAAACGCTGATTTCAAATGTATGTTTACCATCTGCCAAGCGACTACCTGGATGAAGTTAGGAGCGTTTTAATGTGCGATTTGTCAGCAGTTCTTTGATGCATACTCCAGAAAGATGTGTCAAAAACACTCAGGTTTTTAGTGAATGTGCCTCGTCCTTGTAATTAGAATACCCAGGGTCACTGTAAATCCGCGTCATCAAGCTGACTTTCAACTAACTATATTCGTAGAAACTCGAAAAATTTCTCATTATCACAGCGCTCGTAACTCCGTCCAGAGAGTCGCTTGGCAGATATTAGAAATATATTTAAATTTAGCCTTTTAAGGCGAGTCTTAAAATGCACATCTGTTTGGAATGGCTGGATTAAGTTCTGACCATTTACTTCTAAGCACAGCCGATAGTCGCAGCCGCAAATTCGAATATGTAAGTCATTATATGTGCTGCACACTGCATGGATCCCACGAGTAAGCAAGCTTGGTGTTTGCTGCATTTGTCCATGTTTAGAACATTACATCTACTTATTGCGAATCTGTATTTGAACATATATTGGTGGCAATTCCAAAAACACCTCTAGATGATCCACACACTAAATAAATTGTTCAAAACAATATTAACTATTCATTATAATATACAGGGTGGTCCACATGAAGTGTGACACAACAAGAAAATATTATAACTCTGCAAGGACTGAATGAAATCAGAAGCTTTTGTGCTTACCTGATAGAGAATAGAATTCTGTATAAAAACTTTTAACTAACTTTTGAGATAATTTGTCCCTGGTTTATTTGAAATCGTTCTTTCTCCTTCGAACCTCTATAAAAAGTTCTTCGATTTGCGCGCGATGGTTTCTGCTCTCGAACTCTCATCAGGTTTCTTTCTGGCAAGTCAAATGACACGGGTTTTGAAGGGCAGACTTTTTCCTTCCAGGCAACAGAAAATAATATTTGTGGGTATAAGGATGGGCGAGCTAGAGGGCCAAATATCATTTTTTTCAGTGTCCAAACCATGGATTTTACACAACTGCAAATTCTTCTTTTCGCTGTAGATTGGTGTCTAGTCATGCTAAAAATTCCCAAAAGCGTCTACGGTATTACCGTTGATCCAGAAAAGTGCCACAGCCCTTCAAACTTTGCTTTCGATGCTTTTCCAGAATCTCCAAAAACCGCGATCTTCGTTGTCATGGCGAATGACTTTGATAAACCTTCAAGCTTGACCAAATCTTACTGACAAGGGAAGGATACCAGATCGCAGAGGCGAACCGAAATGATATGCATATCATTAGATGCGTCTTGATGAGCTGATTCCAGATCTACCTTTCTTATCTGCTACGAGCTTTTCTAGAAGAAGCTATGGGCGTTTGAGGATGTGAAGTTAATGGGATTTTGAAGCGTAGTGTGTTTCAAAAACTAGCTTGGGAGTGACTAATTGACATAGTTTTGGGTGCATTGACTACAAGGAATGCATACATACACCGAACAAATGAGTAAGTGTTTCTGAACAAGTAGTTTTTAAAGAAGTGGCACTGAATGCTTGTCAAATTTGGACATTCAAACGCTCGTGATTTCTTCCAGAAAAGAGCATAGTAGATTTGCAATCGGCTCATCAAGACGCGTCTAGTGATATGCATACATTTCAATTCTTCAGTGCGATCTGGTATCCTTCCCTTATAAGAACCGAAGTCGGAAACAAGCACAACGGGACAAGAGAATATGGAGAAGCTATTTTTGAAACATGGGATGAAAAAGACTAAAATGAATTTTTTGCAGCTCGTCAAACATCATGTTGAACACATATGAGAAAACGCTGTTTGGCCTTTCCTCTCAAGCATTCTTGAACCCACGAATTCTCTTTCTGGCCTATCTGTGAGCAAATCGCCTGCTCTTCCAGATCCATTTCATGATTCTTTGGAAGGAGATCTTGCGACGAAGTTCGGTCAAAAACCATTGTGCGAATTTTGAAATTTTCTCCGGGCAGAATAAATTCTCTCACCAAAACCAAAGATGGATATCTTAGAAGTAATCTACAATGTCTTATACGGAATTTTAATTTCTATCAGATGAAAATAAAGGCTCTCAATTTTATCGAGTTCTAGCAAAGTTACGAAAGCTTTTGTGCGTCACATTTCATGTGGACCACCCTGTACAGCAGTCTTGGGTGTTGACATTTTATGAAATTTGAAGTTACAACGGCACCTTTGGCCTCACTCATCGATTATGTTCGAACCATGTGCAATATTCTGTTTTGTATACATCGCCGGATGTTGGTCGTAGAACACTCACACATAAGCTTTGTGAACTTAGGTGATTTGGACCGAAAGCACAAAATGTTTTTCCAGGCAAACTTCAAAGATTTTCGATGTCCAAAGCAGCTCTAAAGCACCGTACACGGATCCAGCCGTCCAGAATAGCTTGAGTGATAGGAGGCCCTTGGCGTACGAGAACGAAGGGGGTTATCGAAGCATCGATGCTTTCACAAACAACTGCCCCAACTGCCGCTGGTCAACTGCGAACCAGACGCATCACATTCCAGAGCATGTACCTCCAAAAAGTTCAGGAGCAAGTATGGAAGCAAGAGAACCTGACGGACCACCAAAACCACCACCCTTTGACTTTCGTAATCTCCACCACGGTGAATATGTGGATTTTGGAGTTCGCACACGGTCGCAGATCCCACCTTCGACAGCCGAGCACCCATCAGAACTACCACATTCGGCTTCTTTGAATTTGAATTCTACAGGTTTGTCACCGCTTAAAGCAGACAGTCGAATGAGTCAAAGGTGGTGACTTGCTAACGGATTGTATCAAATAATTTATACATGTAATAAAAATATAGCGGAAGTAATGGCTTGTTTTTTGCTTGTAACGTATAACAGGATCAGGCAGTAGCCGGTAATAGCTTGTCGTACAATGTTTCTTGCTAGTCAAGTACAATACAGATAGTCGAAAAAAAGTAACAGCCACTCCGTCTTGCTTATAAATCGTGACAACCGCACGGCAGAGGTAACCAATATGTTAGCCATCCTCATTGTACTAGTTCATAGTTGCCAGTTATTGGGTAAGTTAACTATGCTTTGCCTTCAATAACAATAATTATTGCGAAACCCTGTGTCAACGCTTCGAGTGGGCTGATGCTAGTTATCAATGGCTTCGTCTATTTCGAAATTTCTATAAAATTCTAGACAGCAACCCATTTCAAAATTCTACACGTTCGCATTTCTCTAAGGACAAAATTGTTTTCCTTGCAGTAGAGTACATAATTATGAAATCCCACGCAACAAAAACCAAAACTATAGCTTTCGTCCTTTATAAATGGTGTTGCATAGATGTGTTGTGCAGCTTGTCGTGAAGCTAGAGATTGAACAAGCAAAACAACCTGCAGCAAGCGGTGAATAGAGAGAGGTTAAGAAAATAAGGAAAAATCTATACATGTATGATACTCAAAGTAAGGTTTAGTATGCTCCAAATGAATATCTTTTTGAGGGAACGGATTAAGCTGATTTTTTGCTTCCTTGCATATAAGTCCCGGCGGACAATGTAGACTACCTCTTGCGTGATTCCTGGGCACTTTTTTGATCTGTTAACTTGTAAGTGAATGGAAACTTATCAATCAATATCGGACAATTTCCCCAGTAGACAGAGAGGCAAAACTCCCTTACCTTTCGCTACGAAAAGGATCCGGTATTTGGAGGCAAGGAGTAGGCAAGAGGACAACTACCACAAGAGCTTCGGCGCAGGTATGGGGCAGGAATGGTAACTCTTCATACGTCTGGGGCCATTGTGGTAGAATTATCCACCGGACTTATTCGAGCCCACTACCCGAGCGGAGACCGAGGAAGTCATCTAGGTAGTAATACGGCAGCGAAAGATAAGAAAGGATAACTTGCATATTATGTAAAAAAAAAAGGAGACAACGCTCAATGGTTTCGGTACTGATAGATAAAGCTTGCTAATAAGCAGATTACGTTGAAAAATTCAACAGCGTTTTCACACAAACTGTATATTAATATTTCTTTTTGCAAAGAAGTCACACTCTTATCTCTAAAGCATTCTTGAATTTTTGCATTGCGCGGATTGTGTACGAAGTATACTTTCTAGCTCTCGACCAGGGTAAAGGAATGTAGCATAAAACTGCCTAATATGACTACTCACTGCGACCTAAAGCCGCATACCTACCTTAAGGTACCCAAGCATGGCCAAAACGCCACAAAGATAGTATCATTTTCGTGATCAACCTCTCAAATAACAGCTGTGCACGGAATTTAGCGAAATTTGACAGTAAAATTCTAAGTATAGGGAGATCTGAGTGAAATAGTCATTTTCACACATGTCTCAGCTTGTCCAGAAGTGAAAGCAAGCTTAATGGGACAATTTCAAAAAAAAAATGCTGTCAACTGACACATCGCGTGCATTCATCGAAGAAATAATGTCATTTAGTCTATGTCATTTAGTAGCTTGAATCCCGCACCGAGTGATCTGAGCCTGAGTCCTTTCCTTTTTACTGATGACAGCTGCGCAAGTGCGATCACTGCAAAGTGAAAAATGTAATTTTGGCTGCGCTCTTTCAAAAATTATCTGAGGGTGAAATTTGTAAAAAAAACAACGGCAGTAGTCATTCTAAGCAAAGAAAGAAGTGACTTGCGTATCTCCAAAACATATTTGTTCATTTTCAAAAATGAACGTGCCGCTAAAAAGATTAATTTTGAAATTACGGTATTGGCCGATTGTGCAACGTAGGTTGTGCAAGAGCTCGGACATTTGCCGGGGGCAGGCGGGCACCGGAAAATTAGATGGCTGCTTTATCGCAACCTGCTGCGGATTTTTTGGAAAGCAATCGGGACTTTTCGGGACGCCGCTTGCTGAGTTCTCGATTCCTCAAAGAATCAGCAATATATCTGCAAAAGGACAGAGCGAAAAAAAGATTTAACAGGCGGCCTCTCAAAAACTCGCTGAGCATTTTCTTAAAATTAGCAAGTGGAATGCGAAATGTCAGCAACGCGTATTTTCCGGCGCCCTGCCCCGGCAATTGTCGGAGAGGGTTATTTAACGCGCTGATTGCAAGGATGATACCCAGTCGTGATAGGGCTGTTTGTTATGTTTATCGAAAGGGAGGTAAGTCAATATCTCAAAATGTGTCCAAATCTAGCATGTAATTAGCGTGCTGTTCACGAATATAGTGTTCAACGGTGAAAGTGACACTTGTCGACCCTGCTCTAAAACACTTGTTCAATTGCTTTTTTATTAGACGCCTTTCATCCTTCCACTTCGCCTGCAAACTCCTCACCCTCTCCCTGACAACTCAGTACAACCTTCACTCTTGGCTTATCACACCCCGCGTTTAATTCTGTCTCAGCCGTAATTGATACGCACATTATGCTGTGGCAACTGGGAACAACATCAAAAGCCTCTAAAGAACTTTTTCCAGCGAGTCAACGCCCCGCTCACCTCTCCATCAAAAAACCAAAATTATATGGAAGAGCACTGCAATTTACCTACGAATATGATCCCTCAGAAGCTCTTCCACCAACTGTCAAAATAAAAACCAGGAAGCTTAAGGACAGTAAGTCAACCTGACTGAGACTTTCTTGCTCAATGATTGCCGAAGAAATTTATGTGAATCGACTGTTTGCAAAGATAACTTTGTGCATAAACTGAACCAGCAGTAATTCGGTTATTAAGGAACCATCAAAAAAGCTACGGATTTTCTTGTCAAGAAAAGTGTCTACGAATATTTGATTTTTCGTTTATTCGCACTGTTCTCATTGATATCAACAAGCTGTGTACAGTACACCCCAGTTTTTTACAGTTCGCCAACCCAGTTAGCAACTTTTTCTCCTTTCTTTCAGGTAAACCAATTCCAGCTCATGACCTTAAACCTAGACAAGTCCAAGTCGTCAAGTCAGCAAAACCGAAAAGGAAAAAACGCGTAAAGGTTTTTTTTGTTTACATTTACCTTACAAAACACATAAAATCATATATGAGTCCCGTACGAGATTTAGCACTCCCACTCCAGTTACTCCAGCGAAGCATTCAGTAGCGAGGAACACTCCCCTCGTAATGATGGTTTTTCGTCGGCGCATAAAAAAAGCCACCATGCAAGATTTAGAAAATTCCGACCCTACTCATTCGAAACAAACAGTAAAGAAGAGGTTTGAGGTGCAGTAGTGAAAAACATACAGGAAACAGCGATGTTCAGGAGCCGACGCCGGACTTCGATGATTTTCTGAAGGATATGTCTTCATACATGCACGAACAAGCTGGAGAGATTCTTTCTGAACAGTTTCCTGGATTTCCAAATCCATTTAATGAGAAGGAAGAAGACCCATTTGTTACGCGTTACCCTCATTTCAAAGATGGTAAACGTAAAAAGAAAAAGAAAAACAGGAAAAGAAGAAGTAAAGGCAAGACTCACGCCTTTGATTAACAACTATGTCCAATATAAATAATTTATTTTTTATCAAGAGCATATCTATAACCTCTATACTCCTCTACGCTAATAAAAGATTGCATGGAATGGAACAATTTCACAGATTAGCAGATAGTGCACCTATACATGTATCACAGTTTGAAAGAATGAGCAAGCTATGTTCCTGATGTGAGAAAAAAACTGTGGAAAAAGTAACAATGTATAGGAGAAGCGAGCTTCTACGAAGATTTTGTATAATATTTAGTGGGCACAAATGGCATTTTTGTGACCGTGACCTTAGACTGTTTGGCGCCAAAGTCAACGACAATCTTTGTTCCTACTTTTGCATATGGTTTGTCGACATAGGCTATGGCAATGTTTTGATCTGAAGAAACGATTTTGTAGCGTAATAGATGTTGTTTTCTATAAAACTTACTCAAGCATGGAGATGGACATCCGGAAGTCACAAAGCCTATTGCGCACTTGTCCAATGGATCCATCAACGGCAGATGTGCTAGAAAAATTCTGTCACTCCATTACACTCAACCTGTGAACCGATTATTTCTTTTGAACAAACACAAGACACTCGACGGAGCGAGCGCATTCGATATCTGGTGTAACGCAAAATCAATGTTGCTCTTTACTTTTTCATCTAGAGTTAATCATTAGGAAGGGTCTTTGTTCAATTTTCAAGCAGTGCGCGCTTTCATGAGTACACCATTTTTGCTTACGCGACACGGTGTTGAATGGCTATCATTTGCTGCGCTACCTCTGCTTAAAAGTTGCATCTACTCCTCCTGTTTTTCCACTCACAATATACTACGGTCTTTTCAATAGTTTGTAGAGTTTTCATTTTCGTTCTCATTACTTTGTGGAGCGGTTGATTTTCAGAAAAAAGCATATATCATTGAAAAGAGCTGATCATGCCTTTCAAAGTAAACTAATTTTTTTACGAAAGTTGATCTGCTTTGATTTCTCAGCATCCAAGGAAGAATTAAAAAGGCAAAAAGAAACAATTTTGGCACTTGTTTATTTTTTTTCTTATGAATAGCGTTTTGCGCATTTTTGCCGATTGTGGAAGATGGCGTTATTTGTCAGTCAGATAAAAAAGGATTGGAGCGTTTCAAAAAACGAAAAGTTTGCAGGGTATCGCCTGAACAAGGCCTTTTGCAGAATGGGCAGGAGGTTCTGCATTGAAAATTGCTAAGCCAAAACATGACGGTCGCCCACACCGTAAGCAACTCTTTCGTACCATCTGAACGGGTCTCTACTCTGAAAAAGTCTTAAAGGTCCAGTGAGCTTTTCTGCGCGACAAAACTTGGCCTCCTACAACAACCGTTCATAACTGTCCAGTAGACTTGACCATAAGGTACATTAGTCCTCCTCCGATGTGCTCCTAATTGTAACATCTCGGCTCTAGCATATTAACATCCGTTCCAGTCTAGCCGAAGGCGGTAGTCAGACGACTTCTTGGAACAGAACCGTTGAGTTCTTTCAAAGCGTAACTGAGAATCTGACAGTATGGTCGTAGAAGGTCAAAATCTAAATTCTATACGCCTGGTCACTTTTCTGCACTTTCACAACCTTTTCTAAAGCTGCCTGCACGTCCTAGTGGGTCTGGGGCTCTTAGCCTCTTCCTTTCCTATCATATTCAATGTCCTGCAACTGAGATTGGCTGGATCCTCTTGCTATTCATGGTTTCTTTGTGTCTCTGTACTTTTTATTTGTGGTGTATCATTACTGCAGCGGAAATAAAAAACAAATGGAAATCGTGTGCTCGGGTTGTTTTTAAAGGCAGTGTCCAGGCAATGGGCACGTGTGGTTTTTGCTCAGAAACTTTTGAGGGAGGCCTAACTAAGGCACTCCCAAGCAGCAGTGCAAAAAATTCATTCATGGCTGAGAAATCCGTTCCAAAACCCTCCGCGTCTGCGCCGTAACACCTAGGCCCTAACACTTAGGTTGGGTCCCAGCGCGAACGTAGTGTTAAAGTGAGCGAAGTCGTTCTCGGGTTACGGTACACGGCGCGGGCGCGGGGTCTTTGGGGACAGAACTCTCAGCTGTGAATAAACCATTTGCCCTGCCGCTTGGGCAGTGCGCTAGTTAGGACCCCCTCATCAGTTTCAAGAAAAAAACCCCATGGGTCCAAATTTGCCTGGACGCTGCCTTCAAGTGCAAACAATACGTGATAAGATTACCTCTTGGAGCACGACCGGGTTCAGAAATCAGCCCAACCCGTTGCTTTGGCCAAGTTTTTGATTTCAGTTGTCCCACGACTTTCTCGGCGCCAGGAAATCCAAGCGTTTCACGACGGCGCTTTGCTAAAGAACAGAATACATTAGATCAGTGATCAGAACATTGGATCGAGAATCCTTCCTTGGGGGGGGGGGAGTATGCGAAAAGCAAAGGTACAAGTGTGAAACGTCACCTGGAGCGGAGCCCGCCCCGCGCGCAGTATTCGCGCCAAGACCTACACCGAATATCCTCAGCCCCCATCATAGTTGCGATAGGGGGAGTGATGGATCTTACCCCCTTCACTTTATGGCCAAACTCCCGATGACCCCCTTCACCTGGGCTGAGATTGGTATTGTACTCTGAGAATAGGATTGTTACTAAAAGGTTTTGCAGGCTAAGTATCTCAAACAACAAGTACACTCACAAATTTACAAAAGAAACGCTATCTATGTTATTTATATTATTTATTTATCCTCGTAGCATTCATTTGGAGAGCAGAAAGTGAGGACAAAAAAGCAGTCAATTTTTGAAGCACATAAAATCCCTCATATCTCGCGGCACAGAAGACCTAGAAAAAAGTCGACGGTCTACGTCGATTCTCCATGATCTCAGCTTTCGAATGGTATAAAGCATGTTAGGGCTGTTTTGCTTCCCGGCTCTAAAAATCATTTGCTCCGGTAACCGATAAAAGCCATTACATTGGTGGAGCTGGGTGGAGCAAGCTAATAGTAAATATCTCCACCCCCTTTTTTGAAAACTGGTTAGTTTTTTCGCCCAGCAACCTATATACCATTCGAAAGCTCAGGAAAAGGGGATTCGAACTAGACCGTCGACTTCTTTCTAGCCCCCCTCTACCGAGAGATACACCGCGTAGACCGTCGACTTTCTCGTAACATCCATTTGGAGAGCAGAAAGTGAGGAAACAAAATCAGTTAATTTTTGAAACACATAAAATCCCTCATTTCTCGCGGCGCAGAAGACCTAGAAAAAAGTCGACGGCCTATGTCGATTCCCCATGATCTCAGCTTTCGAGTGGTACAAAGCATGTTAGGGCTTTTTTGCTTCCCGGCTCTAAAAATGATTTGCTCCGGTGACCCATTAAAGCCAACACATTGTACAGATCGTCCCGAAAGTTTTTGCGCACGATATTCAAAAAATCATAACTTCTGATTTTTCCAACCGATTTGACTGCTTTCACTTCCATTTGAAAGGGTAATCATGCTCTTTATAATGACATCTCAGCTGCTTAGTAATGGTCATCTGTTGCATAGATAGGAGCGATAGAAGAAAATAGGTCAAAATTTGAATTTTCTGTGTAGGGCCATGAAAAAACGGAGACTTGCAACAAAAATTGGAGCAGTCAGTATTGTAGGTTCCTTCACCAGCTCTTTTTATCAGTGCAAAGTTTGCGCTGATTGAGGGTCTCTATGAAAAGTTATGATTTTTGAGCAAGCAATACAAAAGGGCGAATTTGGTTTATTTTGGCATTTTTTAGGGAAATCGTAACTTTTCATAGAGACCCTCAATCAGCGCAAACTTTGCACTGATAGAAAGAGCTGGTGAAGGAACCTACAATACTGACTGCTCCGATTTTTGTTGCAAGTCTCCGATTTTTCATGGCCCTATACAGAAAATTCAAATTTTGACCTATTTTCTTCTATCGCTCCTATCTATGCAACAGATGATATAAAGAGCATGACTTACCCTTTCACATAAAAGTAAAAGCAGTCAAATCGGTTGGAAAAATCAGAAATTATGAATTTTTGAAAATCGTGCGCAAAAACTTTCGGGACGACCTAATAAGAGCGAGGTGGAGCAAGTTAATAATAAAAAAATGTGCTGTGGATTGACATCGTTATCAGCACTAACGAGAACGTGAGCGAACGCCTCTATTTAAGCGTGCTTATCGTTGTTATATGTTCATGTTTTTTTGGTAAAAAGTGCTCTTTTGATGACAGTTATGCCATCATTATTAGCGCACACTCAAAAAACTATGGGAGATTGGTGAATTTCCACACCTTCACGCAAAAACCCGCCCATTTCTGGAATCTATACTCTGTAAGCCTAGTGCTGAAGAAGGTCACTTTCGTGAAAACGCTCTAGGCTCACCTTACCTAATTTGTAGAGAATGGTTGGTTTCAATGAATCAAAAACTTTAAGACATTCAGAAGAATGACATGTTATTGAAATATCCCTCAATGTTTTGGAAAGGTTGGCAGTTTGAAGAGGAAACGGCAGGCAGAAACTTTACAAAATCGCAGATTACTCGCATGTGTTTCAGTTCCACAGCGAGGCAGAAGGAGAATTTTACGCCGACGAAAATGTTGCCGACATTGATACAGAGTTGACAATTGAGCGAAACTCTCTGATTTCCTGCATAAGGAATCTAAGCAGATTGTCTAGTTTCAATGAGGAAATGTCCAGGAAGTCCATTGCTGATCTTCAGGTTGCTGAAGAATTCAAGGCTGCTAAATTCACAAACATGGATATGAACAGAAGGAAGCTGTTAGTACAAAGCATAGCTACTGCTCTTAGATCCCGACTGGAGTGCGAACTCTGCCAACTCTGTGCTTTATGCTTTTGGAAGTTATTCGCCTTGTGAGATTATGACCTATGATATTGAAAAAAAATAATGCGCAGCATAGTATCTACTTTTTTCGGCTATTCCGCAGATGCTTTCAAAGAAAAAGTTGAGCAGCTTTCTCATCAGCTAACAGGACGTATGCCAGAGGAGGTGAAGCCAGAGTTCGACAAGGCCCAAAAAAGTATGCACTATTTCCTTCCCGTGTTGCGAAAGCATATGCGATCTGGCTCTTTTTCCAATACTTACCGCAAAAATTTGATGGACTTACTGGCAAAGCTAGTTTCCATTCCGACTAGCACGGCAGAGGTGGAGAAAGATATTTTCTATCTACTCTGTTATCAGAACACAACGCAGAAGTCGTACAACGATGGAGCATCTAAGCAATTACTTAAGGTTTGTCAACCTTCTACTAAACATATTGTTATCTAAAAACTTCATTTAAAGGATTGGTATAAGTGGTCCATACAGGATGTCACCGTATGACTTTTTGAAATTTCCTAAAAGATGGTATGAAGAAACTGGTCACCTACCTGCTGGCTTTCCTGGTGCTACCAGAGGGCCAGGAAAAAAATCACAAAAGCGCTTAGAAGAAGAAGAAAGTTTCAAATCCATTTTCGACTCAGAACGCTTTTGCACGCAATTCTACTTCTACTCCGATGACCTTTTGGAGGAAGAAGAAGATTTTTCAGGCAGCGAACTTGTTGTCTCTGACGTTAGCGATAGTGATATAGTTGGTGATGATGTGCAGGAATTGAAGTTGCTCCTAACTTGTACATCTTTCGGGATAAACCTTATTGCTTTCGTTTTTTGTTGATGCAATGAAACAGGAGCACAGATCTTCATAAAGTTAATTTTTTCAAATTTTTAATTTCTTTTAAAATTTTTTGATTTTTTTTTCAATTTGTGCCTAAATAAGGTACAAATTAGAGCTCTTCATACCACGCTTTTTTACCTTTTCTCTCTTCCTCCACCCCCTAGACTCACATACCCCCTTCACCCTGGAAGGTCGGGAACAGCTGAGACCCCCTTCACCTGGGGAGAGTCCGGCTCCCCCTATCGCACCTATGGCCCCCATTTTGCCACAGATAAAGCTGGAGGCGGAACATCTATCCTAGGCGCTACTTGTGAACTGGTGTTTTCATCGCTTTCGAAAATATTTGGTTTTATTGGAGATAAACGAAGCAAAACATTTGTTCCGCCAGACATTTGAGATCAGAAAAATCTAATAAGTAGGTATTCTTACCTACAACAAATGCAAGTCCAGCTTCTGCTGGTGTAGTATTTTCATCGATATCATTTCCATATAGACATAGACCAGCTTCCATCCGCAGCGCATCTCGAGCACCCAAACCAGCCAGCTTTACCACGCCGTTCTGTGATTTTAGTCATTATAACTCTTTTGTATAGAACCGAACTTGCTCACTTTGGATTGCAGAAGTTTCTCTGTTAACGTGGCGGCATCCTTGGCTGGTACTGAGATCTCAAAAAAATGAAATTGCTAAAATGAAGGCAGGTCTTTTCCAGTCAACCCACCTCAACGCCATCTTCTCCTGTGTATCCACATCGGGTAACCCTACAATCCGGAATCCCGAAGACTTTGCCGATGGTTGTTGTCATAAACGTCAGCTTGCTGAGGTCAATATCTGTCTCAGGTTGTAGTACTTTCGCCATTTCGGGCCCTAGATGGTTTGATATACTCGGGATTATATTTCTTGGTGGAAAGGAAGCCTAGAATTACCTTGTACAGCGATCAAACCCCTATCTTCGAGTACTTTGACTTGTACGTCTTTGCCATCAGATCTCCACTTCTTCGCATTTTCCTGAAAGCAAACATTTAATTTTCATTCAAAGAAACCAATCCAAATTCCTAGAATCGCACCTGCAAATAAGGAAGATCTTTGTCAATGCATCCTGCGTTTGTCACCATATAAATGTAATCTTTATCAGTTTTTGTGACGATTAAGTCGTCCTTGATGCCTCCTTTCTCATTCGTGAATACTGAAAATTTTGATTGGAAGCAAATTGGTCAAAAACCTTCTGGGAACAGTTTAAAAAAGCAATTGCCATGCAAGAGAAGGAAAAGAGAGAAAAGCAAAAATTTTTTTCAAGGGATGGGTTTTAGCATTAGCCAGCCTTCCAAAAAATATTTCTGGGATGCTATCAGTTCGTGTAAAAGATTATAGGTTCTGAGAAGACATTCAAAAATTACGAAGCCAACTCAGCCTTCAAAGAAAATGAATTTCAAACGAAAATCACGTTTTTGAGTACTTAGATAAGTATTTTAAATCATCATTTATTTCAAATAATGGCTTGTACATATAGAAATTTAGTACATTTTCAGAGGTTAGCTTACCTGAGAGTGTCCCACTATTTTCGCGAAGACCTTGGACATCTGCAGTGGTAAGGCTCTCAATAAAAGCGACTCTGAACAAAGAAGCTTACCCTTATCCGATATGAGATGACCGAAGCTTACCTATCTTTACCACTGATCTGGGTTTGCAACATGTGGGAAACATCAAATAAACTGACATGCTTCCTTGTGTGGCGGCAAGAGTCTTGGATGTTCAGGTCTGGATATTGTACTGGCATTTCAAATCCTGCGAACGGGACCATCTTCGCCTTGTACTTGTTGTGGAGGTCATACAAGCAAGTCCGCTTCCTAAAAAATCGTAGATTATTTTACCGGGAAAAAATCCAGGGGAGCATGCATCACATAGACACACAAAGTCTAAACACTACACCCACGTGGAAGCAGAGGAGAAGCATCGTAGTAAAACACGTTGGCTTGCCAGTACCCGGTTCATCCTAGAAATTGAAGTGCACGGGGGAAAACATGTGGTTTGATTTCCATTATAGTGAGTACAGTGCCACAGGATAGTATCAGAATTCAGATGAAGTGTATAAGAATTGCCTTGATTGAGAAGTGGTCCAGGTATGGAAACAAAGGCATTTGGCACTAATCACATTTTCAAATTTTTCTCACTGAATCATTCTAGAAGTTTCGCTTACCCCAATTGGAAACTCTGCAACTTCTCTTGATAACGTTATGGGTTTTGCTAGTATATAGTTTGATGAACCCTATACAGAAATATCTGTTGGCTTATTGCAAAGATCGAAACTGGTAAATGTACAGGGTGTCTAGAAAGAAAATGTGCACACAGTAATTTAATAACTTCGAAGAAAACGATACTTATCGAAATTAGGCAATGGTCCACCATAAAAACCTCTCTGGCACAAAATCAAAATCATAAAGTTAATAACTCTCTTGCTTCAAGGTATTTTGCCTATCATTATGTACCGCTCTGCAGAGCTGGCTTCAATTGGAACTACAGTTTAGAGCGGAACTTCGATCATTCTTTATTATCGCATGGTTAGATAAGGCAGGGAATTCTGAGAAAGGACCCCTGAGCCATATGTCGCAATTTAGTTCATAAACGAACAAGCCAAAACCCTTATGACTAATCGAAATTGTAGGTTCCAATCGAGAAACTTCACGGTCCTGTTCCCTCCTTGAATTATCCCAGAGAAACCGTATTGTTTTTCTAATACCTTCAGAAGTATTACTATACCACCAAAAAACTCAGAAAATTGTAAGAGGTTGTGTTATAAGATTACCATGTGAAAACCTGCTACATGATTTTTTCAAATTTTTGAAGTTTTATTATGAAATTTTTATGCATAATTTTGCAAATGTTCTGAATATTTCATCAATTGGCCTGTTTGAAGATGGCGCTGCATGCGGAAAGTTCCCACCGTAAACCTATAGTAACGAAGAAAGTTTGGTAACTCGAGCTTCAAATCTATGTTAAAGCGAACTGTACAGAGTGGTACCTGAAAATAGGCGAAAGCCATTGAAGAAGAGAGTTTTTAACGATGAAACAATTTGGACAATTTCTAAACTTTTGTAAGGTTGATTTTGAAATTTGTTTGCAAAACTGCATGGATGCAGCGATCAGTCATCGCTTCGGAAGCTTTATGGTATGCACTTTTGGAAAAAGCACTCCAATCTCTCATAATCTTTCTAAGAGGATTACAGTTTCTAACAAACTCATAGCAAAAACAATTTGGACAATTTCTAAACTTTTGTAAGGTTGATTTTGAAATTTGTTTGCAAAACTGCATGGATGCAGCGATCAGTCATCGCTTCGGAAGCTTTATGGTATGCACTTTTGGAAAAAGCACTCCAATCTCTCATAATCTTTCTAAGAGGATTACAGTTTCTAACAAACTCATAGCAAAAACAATTTGGACAATTTCTAAACTTTTGTAAGGTTGATTTTGAAATTTGTTTGCAAAACTGCATGGATGCAGCGATCAGTCATCGCTTCGGAAGCTTTATGGTATGTACTTTTGGAAAAAGCATTCCAATCTCTCATAATCTTTCTAAGAGGATTACAGTTTCTAACAAACTCATAGCAAAATGTCATTTTTTTCAATTTCCTCAGTCATAATTTTCCAGAAAGACGTTCAATCAGAATGTTGGCAAAATTTTCGTTTTAATGTCAGTATTTTTATTTGTATTATTTTCACGCAATGAATCAGTAAAAGGGCTTGAGAAACCTACAACTATCACTTACCTTGCAGGAAATTCAGCGACCGCTATGTTTGAGCGTTTTTAGCGTATTTAGCAAACTACAAAATCAAATTAAGCATGTTCAGTGCTTTAAATCTAAGCTGTAAAGTCCTTTTTCTGTTTTCAAACGGCTGTCAGGGGATGGGATGGTTTTGTTATTCCCTAGATTATAAAGTCCATGAAGTAAGCTGAAACTGTAAAAAGTCGCAGAATAACAGATATAGAGAAATTTCTAGAACACTCCAGTAATGAACGAAAACAATAGAATGTAATTGTTTGCGGCAATTGATTTCGGTGGCTTCTCTCGTATCTTTCAGAGATAAAGACGTGACTGAGAAAAAGCAGTACTTGATACAAAAGCAATAAACTACCAACAAAAATTTGCTCAAAAAGAAAAAAATATTAAGGAATGCGTACCACGCGATCCAAGGTTCAAAAAGTGAAAGTGCAGACAAAGGCTGTTGAAGCAAAGTGATACGGAAGGAAGGAGCAGTGCCAGGGAAGCGAGTGAAACCAAAGAAGAAGTAGGAAAAATTTAAGCATCAAAATGAAAATTAGGAAAATGCTTTCCAGGCGACAAAAATAGGACTCACATTTTTTACGTGGTCTTGATTGCAAGCACTTTCCGAAATACCACGGACAGCCACTTGTCGATAAAACAGTCCCTCGGCTGGAATGATAAGGTGTAATGATTGCGATGATCACATGAGAAGGGCAAAAAGGCCTAAGTCAATAAAATAACAAGGAATGAGTAGAGGAAAAAAGAGGAAGGGGAAACTCTGCATTATAGATAGTGTTTCAATTACAAAAGATTTTTTTGTTTGCTTCATGCTATGGAAATAAAAAAAATGGATGCTTAAAACCTTTTTGCTGAAATATAGCTTAGCTTTTCATATAAATCACAGTTTTTAAAGTCGATTCCACTGCGTCTATTTCCGTGTGGGATCGGCTCGAAAAAGAAATTTACAGAAATTTCAGTTTTTTACCATCTAAAGGATGCAGTATTTTCATTAATGAATCATTATAGCGTTGATTTGTTTGTAGTACACTTGCACTCCACTTCGCAATAGAGAACAGCCAAGGATTGCAGGATTCAATTTTTCGAGATGTAAAAAAATTGAAAGAATCCATGAAAGCACCATTAAGACTTACACTTCCAAATCTGGGCGAGGTCTTGGAGATCAAATGAAAACAGTAAAAATATGACCTGAAAATGTGCACAGCATGTCCTGTATTATGTCCAAGACAGTGCGAGTGCACCACTTGCCGAAATGTACCAGAGTATATGAGGGCAAACTGCGGTCGCAACTTCCAAACTGGCTGGTTAGGGGTGAGTTTGTCCATTCATTACTCTAAAGTGCTAAATTTGAAACTAAGTGCTATCAAGCATGTCCTTTATAATTGCACTTCTTGCCTTAGTCAGTGTAATCCGGTGCGAAGGGGTATTGTTGCTGAACAGGCATAAAACTCCTTTGGAAACGATATTCATTAATTTTTGTCGACTGTAATGTTAAGAGAAAGTGCTACAAGCTTGCAAACTTTTTGATTGGTACAATGAAATTGCAGAAAATTTTAGTTGAGCAGCATGTCGTTTTCTTCTCGAGTCTCTTGCCACTCAAACTAGTATACAGAGCGCTTATGCATTTATATTGCTTGTACCATCAGCTGATAGATCCACGAAATATACTTTCTTCCTGAGCCCAGAGTTTGTCATGTTTCGAGGGAAAATCAGATATGGTTTTTAGCAAGATAGCTGAATTTTTTTTGTTTTTATAAAACGCGGTCGGGATTCCAGAAAAGTTTTGAGTAAGTGATGGTGCAATAATATAAAGATATCGATTATCGCAGTATTCTCCTGTGTAGGCAAATAAGACCAGGATTTCATTAGATTTTCTGATTTTTACCTAGAAGGTTTCTTCGCAGTTCCTAATTTTCATGCCGAAATTTTATCCACAACAAACTTTTTTCATACAATGAGAATGATAAGAATGCCCTAGTGATTGTTTATATCACCTTTATTCTTTTAATGATATGTGTAGCACATATCCTAATATTGTGTATACGCGCAATTGCTAGCAATTTATTTCCAAGGTTAAAACTTGAAATTGATCTCCTCTGACAAAATTCTTGAAAACGGAGGATTCTAAATTATGTCTCCCATACTTTTACTGCAGCTAATCTCTGGACACAATGTGCTGTATAGAAAACTATAGGAAAAGAGCTTCTAAATTATACAAAAGAAGTAGGAAAGAGCCTCAAAAAAAAGCCTAGAAAAAGGTAAAACATACGTAGATTGATTCTCAAACCAATTGGAATGGTTAAAACAAACGTCCAAAAATTATCAATTTCCGTCCGCTAGTTCTCGTACGTTCTAGATCAGTGTAGTGTATTTTTCCTACGTTAGAAAACAATTTATGTTTATATGTCGACCGATTAATTGGAGGAAGCGTATCGCGAGGACTTTTTGAGAAAGGTCATACTGTTACTGTCGTAGAATTGCAGAACGATGAAAAATGAGTGTATGTCTTCAATAAAAGGACTTGGTAGTCCTCACTGGACATCAGTTGTGCACCCAATAATAGGAGCTGCTAGATTTTAAACAAACTGAATAATGTCCTCTTGCGAGTAAGCAAGCAAATGCGCACAGCTCAACATGATATTAGTTTGGCTCATAAGTAATGCAAGTTTTTATAAAACTATTGCCTTTTTGGCAACACATTCATTTTTCGGCGATATAAGGATTATGACTTTAATTTCAAATGGAGACTTTTTTGTCGAACTTTGCCATCTTATGTAGGGGTTACGGTATTATTGTGTTTTGGAAAAATTTTTAGAGTGGGGCAGATTATGCTAAAACTTGGCTTATGCGGGTTATTTGACATGTTGATCACAAAGAGACCCGCTTCGCATGAAGGGGCTCTTTCGTAAAGTCAAGGAGTAAATTTTTATCTTAGCGACAAATGAATATAATATTCGTGTCCACCATATAGAGTTACCCTATTGTGCAAAGTTCTAGCGAAATGTGACTTTTCGCAGCTTAGTTATTAACGGGTGGCCCTCTAAATTTGAAGCATTTGACTTTTCAGTTCCTTACAAGGGAAGGATACCTGGTCGATGTGGCGTTTTTACATGAGATTTATACGGTATTATAGAGCATTGAACTCTGATTCCAAATCTGTTCTCGGTATCTGCAAGGCGCTTTTGGGAGCGGTGTTTTAGTGATTATTTGAGATGAAAATTTAATGATTTGGCTAAAGTAAAAATAGGTGTCGAAGTCTTTCAGGCTTCTAAAAGGAGTAATTACTGACATAAGTTTATTGAATTGAAGGTCCTTACTCCATAAACGCCATGATAGTAATCATGGCCCCATTTTGAGCTGACGGATTAAGGTTCTGAATGATTTTATAGCGGCGCTTTCAAATTTTTGCATCAAAAAATTTGCATAATTCTTCTCCCAGAAAGGTTTTGCAGATACCGAAAGTACTTTGAAATTTCCATGCTCTATGAGATAATATAGATTTTGCATGGAGACGTCACTTCGACCAAGTCTTTATCCCCTGTTAGAGCGTCCTATCCTGATTTTGTCTTTAAAATTTCATTTCTTTTTACTGATTCTAATCTGTTAACTTCTAGCTACATGCTGCTTATAATTGTTTAGTGGTATGTTTGATTTAGGATTTGTACGTTTGAACTCGATTTTTAGCAGTTTCAGAAAATGCTTTGATTTATTCCAATACGTTATCAAAAACTGAACGCTTTGCAAAGAATTGCAGCTTACATTATAGTGTCTACATGATGTCTAGAATGAAATCGCTACATATAATAAGAAAACATATATGGGAAAAGTTTCAAAACTTATGTGCCAAACTAATATTTTACATGGACTGAATCAGCTTCAAATACCATGAAGCACAAAGAGCAGCTAAATCTGATGTAACAAAAGAGAAAAAAAATGAAGCATACACTGCCGTGGTTAAACTGATCAGTTCTCCTAGTAGTGCCCATTCATTGTAGTGGAGAGCAACTGTTTATTGTGTGTAAAAAAGTTTGACACGTGGGACCGAAAATGCATGCCACGGATCTCCGGCAAAAATATGGCTAAGTACGCCATTTAGCTTCAGATTATCAACATTATAGGTACTTTATTGGTTTAGAGTTTGAGTTTATCGTTTTCGGGGGTGGAAAGAGGATTGCTCCACAATGGTCGGCCGCCTCATCGTGGCGTGGGGGTGACACTGCACAGCCGAGGTTATACTCTGGCAGGGCCTCTCGCTGTGAAGGAGTTCGACGCTTCCGGTCTCGACCGGATGCCTAGCTAAGAGCCGGCCAGGCCAGATCCACAGCCGTCTGGTTTTTTGTCGCCAGAGGCGGTTCCCCCGCTCCAAGCCGGGAACAGCGATCTCCCCGTGTAAATCAAGAGTAGGCCTAGTAAGTCTGCTCTTGCAGGGGCCAAATTTTATCACTCCTTCAGTTTGAAGAACAAAAAGAAACCCCGCACGTCCTGTACCGCCTAAGGCGCCCGGTGGTAGCAAGAACGATGTCAGGGTAGTCAGGGCGCCTTTTGGATTGGATAAAAACGACACGTCTGCCCGGACGACAAGCCATGGAGACTGCCTCATGCTCTGCGCTTACAACGCCAGGACTCCACAAAAGCCGACCTCCACGCTCTTCTCGACGCTGCAGAGCAAATCGAGTACCACATCATCGTTCTGCAGGAAGGCCAGGAAGAAGGACGTGCGACAGAGGAGTGATGGGACCCTCATCATTCGTGGTGAAAAGGTTCCATCACGAAACGTGGGAGGCGTCGGCCTTGTCGTCCACCCATCTATCGTCCATCTTGTCGATTCGCACCAGATCCTATCACCTCGACTGGCCATACTACGACTACGTCCTCCACGTCAGAAGAACATCAGCATCATCAACTGCTACTCTCGAACATCAGCAGCTGACGACTCGGAACTAAATGCTTTCTACGAAGACGTGGAGCAGGTTGTCCGCTACGAGAAGTCCTTTAATAAGTTTGTTGTGGGCGACTTCAAACGCGAAAATTGAGATGCCACTGGAAAGGGAATATAGGATCGGGAAGAATGAATATGGGCTCCAGAACGAAAACCGCCACCGTCTGGTCGAGCCTCTCCTCCACGCACAACTTTTCCATGGAAATTTCATCTTCATGAAGAAATAACATCACCAATGGACATGGGTGTGCCCAACGGAACGACTCACACAGAGATTGACCACATTCTCACCAACCGGATGGAGCTTGCTCGATGTCTCAGTAGTTCTAGCCTTTGGCAGCAACTCCGGTCACCGCCTTTTTCCGAAATCACGATTCAGTCAAGAGCTGTAGAAGAGATTGCCACTGTCGCAAGAAGGAAGAACGTCGTTTATGACAGACAGGCTGGAAGAGCTCATATCAAGTTGTGACTGGTCCATCGAGCGGAAACATACGACTAACCGGCTTCTGAAAGGATTGCGAGACTGCGAAGGATGCGCCTCAGTGACTTTCGCGAAGAACTCACAAGGGAAGTGATAAATCGCAGTGGCCGTTTGAAATGGGATGGGTGGTGTGACACGGCACTCGGAAGGGCATTTCCAAAACCACCCTCGCTAGCTGCAGAACAACCCTGGGTGGGGAGCTACGGGCGTTTTTCCGCTCGAGGCCCAGCGCGCCTTACTCGAATGCGACTGCCGCCCTCAATCAGACGTACCAGTGTGGCGCAGTGGCAAGTGTGCTGAATATCGTGCGGATGCTTGGAGGTTTAAGTCCTCTGTTGGACAACTTGTTTGCAATTTATATACAAACTCCTAAAACGTGTAGATAGCGACCAAAACGTGTTTTACCCCTTTACTGGTGCTTAGAAGCAAAAAAGCACACCATGATATCTTTCTTGAAAAGGATAGTTTTATCTAATCCATCTAATTGCTTCACCATTCCTACAGCAGGTCTTCGCATTTTTCTACTTTTAAGCACCAGTAAAGGGGTAAAACACGTTTTGGTCATAATCTACACATTTTAGGAGTCTGTATATAAGTTGCAAAAAAGTGCCCAACAGAGGGTTCGAACCTCCAGACACTCCCACGCTAGTCAGCACACTTGCCACTGCGCCACACCCGTGCGCCTAGCCGAGGAGTGTACTCGTATTTGAGCAAGGCGCACTAGGTCTCGAGCGGAAAAACGCCCGTAGCTCCCCTCTCAGAGTTGTTCTGCAGCTAGCGAGGGGGTTTTGGAAATGCCCTTCCGAGCGACGTGTCACACCACCCATCCCATCTCAAACGGCCACTGCGTTTTGTGACAATTCCCTTGTTAGAATGCACACCTAAAAATTACTTGAAAGAAGAAG